TACGTCCAATGTGTTTCTCACACAAGGATCTGGACAGTATCTCTGACAAAGTACACAGTTATATTTATTACTGTGTCGCGATTTCCTGTAAACAAATAAAAACGTTCCGTAATAATAAACCTCAGGTGACAAGGAAGGTTAAAGCGGCAATTGGTAGGAAAAAAACCACAGCAGCACAGCCATTCTAATAAATGTCAAGGAGGTTTCACAGCAATTAAAGCGTCTTAAGGTTAGCAAGGCAGCAGGCCCTGATGGTGTCCATCCACGCAGCCTGTGCTGACCAGCTGTGCTCCGTCCTTAACTCTTTTCCTTGTCTCGGTCTTCCTCAAAAATTCCAGTAATGTGGAAAACATCTCGTCTTTCACCAATTCCAAAGACAAACTGTAAGAGACAGTTTTTCTTTTTGTCTTAACTGTATGTCATTGCAGTTGTAAAATTGAAATCCTTTAAATGTGCCAGCTAGTCTTCTGACAGGTTATGTTTTCATACATCATGCCCCAGAAAAGTAATTACACAACACGTAAACCCATATTGTGTTACAAGGAATCTTTTGTTTCACCCCCACTAATCTCTTTAGCTTCAGGGAACGACAAACTGTATACAAGCCTGCACGTCCGTAATCATTGGATCACACCAAGTGACTGAGAATAGGACCAATGTGCACTTATGCAAGTCTTTCTATAGCCGGCTATACTGCGCGGCTGGGCAATAGCGGGCAATGGGGCGTCGCCCCATCTTTAAGGAAATACAATTTAGCCACCGCTTAAGCCCCCAAAAAAGAAATTGAAATCAAATATTAAAAAAATGTCACTATTTGCGTTATGAAATGTAACCAGTAATATTTGTAAAATATATGCTTTTCCTGCACGTCCCTGCCGGTCATACGCACGTCCCGTCTGCGCTAGTGCCAAGCGGAAGATTGCCGGCAGACAGCGGGTCTAAAAACACTTTGCCGATTAAATTAGAAAAATGTGTGACATACAATTTAGCCAATCAGCGTCCTTAAATAGACTCAGCCCGGGGCAACATTGTTTTTGCCCCAAGTTTGCCTGTTCTATAGTCAGGGACTCAACTGACTTCAATAAGAAGGTCATTGAGACGTTTGCCACTCAGAAAAGAAAAAAGGTGACAAATAAGAAGCGTTTAATAATTTTTTCTGTTGCAATACATCGTTAAATATCGAGCTACAAGTTAGTATTGCGTTTGATACTTTTAAGGTTCCGCATTAAATCATTCTGGGATTTTGCTGAAATTGATTGTATAGACCTACCGTAAAAATGTTCCACCAGCCACCGCGGCTGTGCGGGGAATCACACAATCAACGTTACATTGATTAGCGACCGACACAAAGCAGAGTAGAGGGCAGAGGAAAATAGCAGAGATGGAATACACAATAACTAGAGGCAGGGATGCTAATGTACCGTCCAGAGATCAGACAAGAGGCCAAGAGGCATGAGAGCAATGGATAACAAAAAAGCAACAGGATGAGGCATAAGCAGCGGAAAACAAAAAAAAAAAAACATGACCCGGTGGTACCATTTTCTTGTCCAATCACCACCACAAGAAAACATGTATGAAGGGTTCCTCCCCTTAGGAGTGTCACAGCTGTTTTACCTTTGTATTTGTACGCAAGCTAATGGGTTTGTCGGGCCTCAGAATATCGCACTGGTGTGTGTGACAGAAAAGCATGAAGGGAAATCCAAATTAAACGCGCCATAAAAGACGGGTAGGGGGATGGCTGGCAGAATCCGATAGAGCAGCTCAGCGGGTTGGACTGAAGGCAAAAGGAGAGCTCTCTGGATGTCTGCTTCCCTCTTCTTCTTTTACACCGCGGGATGAAATAAAAGAGGAAAGGAAAACGGCAAGATGGAAAGGTCAGTGAAGGGTGAACGGATCTGGCCAGCATCCTGACTGTGTGACAATGAATCGAGCCCTTTTAGCTCAGGCATTATGACAGAGGACATTGCCTGAGGTGTCACACACACACACACACACACACACACACACACACACACACACACACACAGGGAGGGGGGCTTCACAGTCCATTGCATACAACAGGACTGTCAACGTGCTGCGCAGTACAGGACAACCCGTACGTCTCATCGGATACCAAGTTAGACAAGCTTGTATATGTGTGCGAGTGGGTGGACTCCGCAGCGTCATACATCACTTTGGGCGGCCTCCTCCTCTGCCTCCTCCTCCTCCTCGTCGTCCTCTTCCTGCCTGCGAACAACCCTTCCCCCAGGCTGTCTACACTACACAGATAAACAGCATACCCACAACAACAAACTGCTATACATACAGCATACAAGAATTACTATTGGGATCTCACCCCAAAATGGCCCCGGAACAGCAGGAGGTCAATCATTGTTTGACGGCTAAGTTCAATCATCACTCTCTGCTATGTTTTGGTCTCCCCAATCTCCTCCTCTGAGACTGTAAACAAGAAGTGGACGTCTCTGTAGCAGCACTATTAGGTTGTGGTTTTGAGGCCTTGAGTTTGAAAGTCCCCACAAGTTCCACAAAAGGGCAGAGCTAAGGAAACAAAAAGTCTGTATTCAGCTGTAAGATAGCAACTTGCAACCCAAAGCATAACCTTTTTTATCATCTATTCTACTCTAAATGGATCCATGATTTACTATATCAACATCATGCAGTGAGGGCCGATGCAGATAGTGGTGCTGCACATCATAAAACCAAAAAACGCAGGGAAACTGCGGAGCAGATAGTTTGGTGTTATCATGTGACCTGCAACATAACACTTCAATCCCTATGGACACCATAGGTGTCAAGGTTATGGCTGGTGTAAATGACAAATGGGTGAATAAAAAGATGCAAAGGCTAACAGAGAACACACTTCCTGGTACATGGCTGCTTAAGCTCAGAGTGCCTCCCTGGTGCAGCTTGTTAAATATTAGCTCAGCAGCTGCCTGCTCCTATGATGCTTCCAGTGGAATTGTACGACTGTATAGAGACAGTTAAAAAAAAAAAAAAAAAAACATGATCCAACTGTCCATTGTAAATACCAGATGAAGTCATCATCATAACTCCATTCAACTTTCAGTAGATTGTTTCCCATCCTCAAGATGACCCTTTAGTTTAATTGCTTCTGTTGTTTAATAGAAGTTTTCTATTGCAGCGAGCAGGCTGCTCAGCTCATTGAAATGTATAATAACAAACATACTATGAAGCAGTGGAACCAAATCCTGCTGGTAACTACGACTCTAGCTTCCCCAGTAGAGTAAATGAGATTCGTTAATGTTCTTTTTTTTGTTTGGACTGTTTCAAAGCCGCAATCTTCAGCTCCTTTGTGTGAGCATTTTGACTTGAGACCAATGAGAGCAAAGAGCCAATAGACGTGAACGAGCCGCTGTGTCGACTTTGTACATCGACCTGCGCACCTCCCGGGACGGCCGATTGGTAGCGGGACCAAGACACCCGGTCTCTCCCAGAAGAGTCGCCCTGCCGGCGGTTGAAACCCCCCAGGCCAAACTCCGCGGCTGGCGCTGGTGAACACCTATTCCCCATTCCGAATCGAGCCGGATGCTTCGCCCCGCTCTGTGTCCCATGCACTTTTTTGTTAGCAAAAAGGTATATTATTTATGTAGGATATCATTTTTCACATTCAGATTAAAATGTCCAAAAAATACAAATAAAAACGTGAATACTTGCATTATTATGCTATTTTATTGTCATTATGTAATCAGGGGCATGAAATGGTCTGAAAAGCACAATATCATAAATCGCAATTCATTTTGGTGCAATATATCGCACAACAAAAAGTAGCTTTTGTGACAGCCCTACCGACAGGAGATGCACGTGACCTCCGTCGGCCCGAGAGATGGATGTTGTTGGGGGAAAATTGTTGAGCCTGCGTGGGGTGAGGCTCTCAGGAATGTGACCCTTGATGTGAGCCGGTGACTTAAGGCAGTCCAGGGTGAGATAAGACACAGATGAAAACATGCGTGCCCTGACTGACCTTTTAGATGTTGTTGATTGTCTGGGTCCATAAAGGGAGGGTCACAGGGTCACCCCTACATCATCTGCTACTTTTCCTACATTCCTCTTGAGGGGTGGGCTGTCCTGAGGCAGCACAAACCTCCCTGAAGTGTATATAAGCTCCTGTTCTCCTCTTCAACTTTGTCAGATCTTCCTGCTCCTTTTGGGGGAAGGAACATCTGTCCCTTTTCAGCTGAATTGTAGTCATTTGACTTCTGTCTGTGCTTACGACTTGTGCTGATGATTTCTGTATTCTTTATCTTTTTCCTATATTCTAGTTAGTAATAAATACTTAATCACAAAGCAAGCTCAAGATACTTTTGATTTCTCACATGGGCTAAATCCACAAATTTCCACCACAGATGTCATTAAAAGCTGCGAGTGAATCCTTCCCAGAGCGCGTTCATTGTTACAGTAAACTGATGAGACGGCAGTAACGGCCAACAGTGTTGAGGAGAGACTAACTACCGCTCAGCAAAAACCGGAGCACTTCCTCCAATAGAGGATGCTTCATGCTAAAGTCCCCATTTGGTAAACAATCACAAACTGCAGAGAAGGCAGGGCAGATAAGAGAGTGTAGACAGAGGCAGTAGCTCCTCAACACGAAGCCACTGTTGCAACACGGTGAGCTCAGCTTCCTCAATCGGTTGTTCCTCTGCATTTGATGCTGCAGACAATCCTACCGCCCACACACTCTAGAACTTTGCGCTGGACGCTACAAATACAAGACTTTTCTCTGGGAACTGACAGGAGGGGTTCTGAGTAATGGACGATATATTTCATTACATGTGCATATTTTTCCCCCACGTCCTTATATAAACAATAGTCAAGCCTTCTGGTAGTCAGAAAACGTTTGTCTATATTAGCACACAGAAGGCTGATTCTTATATTGGAATATGTTCTGCACTTTTAAATGAACAGCTCTGTAAAAACAGCAAAAACATGTCTGAAACTGTAGTCTGTTCCAGGTGTTGCAATGAGTGTGTGTGTGTACTCACGTAGGAAATGTTTCTCCAATAAGGCAATTTCCAGGTGACCTTTGACTTCATTGAGTCGGTCTGACTCCGACCTCTGGAAGTCCTGGATGGCCACTGCCATGGTGGGAGACCCCGAACCTGCCTGTGCATACACACACACACACACACACGTGCATAGAAGGGACCACACACACACACACACACACACACACACACACAAATAATTTTGTTAGAATGACTAAACAGAATACATACAAACAAACAGGGATTTCCCACATGATCTTACACACATGCACACAGACAAGCATGGCGTCATGACTCACGCTAAGGCTTCCTCTCCCAGTTAAAGTCCAGCTGGAGCGGTATAGGATGAGGAAGAATCAGGAGAAACCCTCTCCTGACTACGGCAACAAGGATGACTCACACACCCTTATGACTACGTGTTTCAACCCGGACACACACACACACACACACACACACACACACACAGAAACTAGCCACACGACTTGTGTGTAGGCAGACCGAGCAACGACTGAGGGGAGCGGAATGAGGGAGGGAAAGGGACAATGGAAAGGAGGTGAGTGGTTGACAGAGGAAAGGAAAGAGCCAGAAGAGGAGAGAGATGGCGGAGCTTGCGCATGACAAGCACTGCAGGCGGCGAATCGGTGCTCAACTACAGCAGGGATCCTTTAAAAGACCGCTGCCACACACACACACGCGCACACACACGCTTCAGCAGTTTCTCCCCGACAGCAACCAGCATCGTTTGTGTGTGTGCGCCGCAAGCCACACCGCAACGTCTTCAGCTGGTGTGCTCTCTGCAGTGACAGAGCGCGAGAGAAGGAGCGAGACACCGCGAGAGAACACAACGGACGTTGACCTGAAAAAAAATGTGCTTTGGAAAGGAGCCAAAGCCTAACAAGATAATCTGCCGGGGAGACATCGAGAGAGGAATAAAGAAGTACCTCTAAAGGAAACGAATGATAGGCTGTGCTGGAGGTGTGTCATGGAGAAGAAAACGGCTGACTGCAGGAGGGTGTCAGAATTGAAAAACGGAGACAGGAGGTTGGAGGAGAGGAAGCAGCCGAGAGGGGCAGGGAGACAAAAGGCGCGGGGGGGGGGGGGGGGGGGGGGCGGGGACGTGGTGGAGATGAAAGGGAGCGGACGGGAAGCAGTGCGTCGCAAGCGCTGCAGCGCTCTTTGGTTTCGAATGAGACTCGCTCGCGGTCTCGTCAGAGGACGTGCGCAACACAAGCGCACCTTCGTTTCCATCGTCACACAACCTCCCGGGTATCAGAAGTAGGTCGAGCCCTGACGTCACCCTCAACGATTATGGGCCGATTATTGTGTTTCCCCCGTCTCTCCTTCTCGCATGTCTGCGGATGAGCTTAGAAATCCCACTGTAAAACTATTATACTATACTTCCGTATATTATATTAAAAAAAAGCATTCATGTTGTATTCTTCATACCGTCGCGTCACCTCCAGCATGTCAATCATATAGCGTTTTAGTTGTGTTCAGGCTGCTCATGAGCAGAGCTTAAGCAGTGAGACTGCGTTGCGCCGTCGGCCTGCTGGTAAATATATGTTGCACATTTTCAGCATTGTATGATGAATCTAAACTTCAAAATGAGCCACAATAACCTTACACATTTCAATGGAATGTGTATGAAAATGTACTGAAATAATAATATTCAGACACCAATCATTGGCTTTTTTACATCCGTGAACTAATTTAAAAACTTTGCGCAAACCCGAACTAGCCTGGCATGGTAACCACATCCAGACACTCATGGATATGAGCTATGATACAACGAGCTCAGCGTCCAGCACAGTATTGGTTGGACGGGATAATGGTCCTCGCGTAGCAAAAATATCACATAACGTCTTATGACGGATTCACAACAACTGGTCTATCCCTCCCTCAGTCATTAGGGGAATTCAATTCAATTTTAGTTCAATCAGCTCTTATAGTGTTATTTCTGGTCCTTTCTCGCGCAGCGTTCAGCCCCCATCAAGACAACTGTTGGTTGTATGGCTGCCTTACCACAGGCCAGTAACTAATCAGGCCAGTTTAACTGAACACCACACTGACACTGGACCAGAAGAGCAATTCGGCAACATTTGCACACTCAAATATTGTCACTTCAAATAAAAGCTCAGCAGCTTAATAAAACCCCAAACAACAACAACAATAACAGGCCTACCAGGGTGACACAGGCAGCCTTCTCTGTTGTAAAGACGAGCACAATCCTCCACCAACACGTCGCATCAGATCCAAAGCAAAACAACTTGGGGTTTGACTACATTTCAGAAAGGGAGATTATGATGATCGAGCGCAGATTGAAGAGCTTCTCGGCACAAAGCGAGCGGTTTATAATCATTATTTTAAATACATTTAACTTTTTTTTTTTTTTATACTTTGAGAGACTCTTAATGCATCTGATATCAAAAAAGGATATCCATTCAACTAGATATATACACTGACCTTTCAAACCTGAACGAAACCGTATCCGAATGGTACCTTTTTATACCTCTGTAAAACATTTCAGTTGTAAGACAGGAAGTCAACTTTGTTAATATACTTGCTATAGTATGCATTTTAAATCCCATACAAAATCCATACCTTTACATAAATTCAGCAGGACACCGTATTGTTGATGTGTTTTACTTAAAAGTGGAGGTTTATGGTACCCAATTATACCATGCTGACCTGCTCCAAATGTACCTTAGATGTAATGAATAAGTTGACACAGTATGAAAAAAAGTTGTGCGTGCAGTTACTGAACACCATCTGCCGGGGGACATTCTGCCTGTTTAGTATGGACGACAGCAGCTAGTTTCTCATCAAGTCCTGCAGCATGCAGCCCAAGGGCACACGCTTTCTTACTAATAACTGATGACGTAATGAAGGTGAGGGTTTTCAGGGCCGGTCATTGCGTGATCTGGTCCTAGAGTGTGTCTCCTCCAGGGGCTCCAACGTGCCAGCAGGGACCTACGAAGCTCAGCAGGGAAGGTGAGATTTCCACCAAGCTGCAGCAGCTTTTAGATACTGAATGCAACAGCATGCCTTTTCTGGTTTCTGGGAGAGAGGGAGGGCACGCACGCCTTATGTGCCGGTGCGTGCGTGGAGAGCTAGCTCGGTTTATTTTTGGGGCTACGGAGTGTGACTCATCAGTGCCATAAAGTGGGCGATGGCGTCCCAGTGGAGCCGGTGCTCACGCAGGCAGCCACCGGTGCGCATGCAGACATGCGAACCGCACTTTACAGACACATTGGTGCAAACATTGGCACATCTCATCACATCTCGTTGGCCCCAGAGTAGGCCAAAAAGCTCATATGCCAATGACAAAGAAAGTCATAATATATTTATGATTCTGTCTAGTAGAGTTGTGCAGCGATGCAGCTATCAGTGGGCTGCAGGAAATCCCCACAGAAAAGACAAAGAATCCCACGCGACACAATCACATACTATGAGGAGGAACGAAGAGAAAGTAAAGAAAAATCCAGCCATCACGAAGAGGTAATTTAGGAAATGATTAATGTTTTCAATACGCAGGAATAATGCCAGCAAAAGTGCCATTTTAATGACTGACGACGACAAGAGAGCTGCAGATTTCATGAAATATAAACGGTATCCAAAGTGGGAGGAATAAATATCTGGAAAAAACGCTCATTTTTTATTTTCTTGTGTGTCGAGGCCAGCGAGTAGGTCCTTTCTCAGTTTTATCTTCATCATGTCCGTCTCCTCCCCACTAGACATCTTGGAGTCCAATCTTATTTCCGTTAGCCTCCTTTATCACTTTCCGTGCTTTAATCTTGTATCTCCCTTCATTTCTTCACTGCCTTCTTGCGACCCAATATCTCAACATTTCAACCTCTTCCTCCTTCGTTCTCACTGTATCTTCAGCGTGACCAAAAACAAGTGGGATTAAACAACAAGGTTTTTAATAGCGCTAAACATTAGTATTCAGAAAGCTAAGGTTGTTCTAAACACCCGGAAGGGGGACTAGCAGCTGGATCTCAGTTTTGTTATTTTAAAAATGCCACATGGCCACACCGAGGTCAGAGCATCCTTCTCAAAACAAAATAATTCATGGATAGATTTTGTTTAAATGCCACAATGCAAGTTCGGCCGAGCCAGTCACGCCTAAATGTGTACGTACAAGACAAAAGCAAGATAACCATTCACTCTGTACGACACCAAGAGATATAAAAGGCAGCGAGTGAGAGACTTGGAGGAGGGGAAAAAAAAAAAAAAAGCGGAAAGGCAAATGATGTGAACGTAGTGAGACGTAATAGAAAAGGGTTGACCAAGCAAAAGAAAGGGGAACTGAAAGAACGGCCTTTCTGCTTCCCCTGTGAAAACGTGATTACTGTGGTCACGAGTCAAATGTGCAGCCTGAACACTCACAGGGTCTCGCGGGCTTTCCTCTGGGTCTCGCGGCGCTGCTCTGGGCTTCGGCTGCACGTCGTCACTACATTCGTTGTCGGAGGCGGGCGGCGACTCGTTCAGGTCCGGGAAGTCGTCCCTCGTCCTCGGGCCTCGGAAGCGGATCTTGTCCAGTCGCTTGAGCATGGTCACCACCGCGGACCTGGGCTTTACCTTAACATGGCGGACGGCAACCCTGTGGGGACACAGAAGCACGGGGGCTGTTGCTAAATAGTTTTCTTCATCTGGACCACATTGGGACAGGTGGTTTAAGTTATAGTGGCTATGCATGTTCATACCTCTTCATGAGGAATAGTTATAGAAAGGTGTAATGCACAGCATGTTCATCATCTTGGTTTTACTTAAGCTACTGTGGCTTCATTAAAAAAAATACATCCTCAGGGGAACATGAATGAATGAACGAACATGTATACAATGTTTCCACCTATAACGTCTTTTTTAGTCTTTTAGGCAACAATGTAAACAAAACAAAATCGACTTCTACTGTGATTCCACTAATCCTTTTAGCGAGGTTGGGGCATCTCTTTATGGCATTTGAATGCATTTCAAAAGCTTGCAATTTGGCTCTGGTAAAACTCAATTCACGCCAATGTCAGGTTGCTGAACATCAGTGTCGATTTTACATCCTTTTTTGCAGCAGCAGCAAATTCCCCAAGGTAGCACATGACGCAACAGGCCAACCTCTAATGCTATTATGCGCTAACCTTGTCAGTGATTGTGTTTTTTTTATTCTTCCCCTTTGACCCGGACAGGAAAATGGAGCGAGGCTGTTGAGCCACGATGACCACATCCTATCAGTCCTCTAGCAAACAGTTGATAGCAACAGATCTGCTGACCTAATTCATTGTTTTAATTTCTGTAGCGGGAGCAGTGGCGCTAGCTGAAAAGCTTAATCCTTGTGTTCCGATATCGAGGTGTAACAATGACGGATAGAACTACGGGTGACCGTTTGTGTCCTCCTGCCTGGCTACAGGAGTCACGCCACTGCAGCGGTTGCTCTGCGTTCACATAGCGGCAGCCTGATCATGCAGTAGAATGAATCCCAAAAACACAGAGGGGATTAATGGCCTCATTGGTGCTCCAGATCTCCACAAGTGTTGGAATGTGCGCCGTTCTTAAAGCACAGGTGGTAAACGGTTACTGCCATGTATGTTGCCAGCAACAGCTGATCAAATGGCCTATTAAACTCTGACTGCACCCAGTGTTGACTTCCTAAACTCAATCAAGTCCTTCCTTCTGATAAGAAACGCCGAATGAATGAAGTCCAATGTAGTAATACACTTATCAGGTCATTCGTCCTCCAGGAGTCAATATGAACAAACGCGGCGGCCAACAAACTGTCACATCAATCTGTCATCCTTTTGCGAAGGCTGAGCACAAAGCCACAGACTCCCAAGATGCAGCTGTTGATTTCTGACTGCTAGGATGTGTCGTTTGGGAATGGATCATGCGTGGCACTTGATGTAATCCTTGGGGATTACTTAATCTGCTTGACTGGAAGACTGCGGTGTAGCTGTCACACAACAAGATGGTTATTTGACTGATCGGCTGTCGGACTGTGTGCTTGTTTTTTAGTCCAGATTGGCAAACTGATGCTGACTGGCTTGTTGTCAGATTTACCGCCACCCAGACTTGCTTGCTTGCTTTGTCACGCAGCGTGGTTACATGGATTCGAATAACTGGCTTAGTCGGACTGAAATCGAATTATCCGTTTAATGTAAACACCTTTGTCCGACTATGTGCGGCCCGACTACGATCCGACTAACACCCCTGGAAACTCGATCCGATCCAGTTGATAGTTCGACTATTGCGGCACGTAACGGTGAATTGGATAAGGAACTGGACTTTGCGTCTTTGCGCATGCTTGAGATCCCGACGGCGTCTTCTCTCCGTTATCAAATGTTCGCATTCACTGTACTCCCATTGACAAAATAGTAGAGGGATGTAGCTTCACCTTGCTCTCTGTTCGCCATCTTTCTCGTAATGTTGATGTTGTTGTTGGTAGTGGTGAAGCGGTAAAGCGGTAAAGCGGAAATGGCTGTATCACAACTAGTTGTAATGAAAACAGCGCCACCTATCGTATCGGATATGACAAGCTTTCGGCCAACGATTCGATTTATTCACTGCCATGTATATTGGGATAATAGCACCTCCCCCCGAAAGATAGCATAGTCCGACTAAGCAAAGATTCGAATTATACCATCATGTAAACACACTGAGTGTTTCTAAAACCTCGGCAGACCGTTGAGTGCCAATCTAGACAGACCAGCATAGTCATTGATGCACTAGGCTTTCTTTCTGTTATTGTTTCTAAGGAAGTAAAGCCACAACCCCAGTGCTGGGCATTACACTTACTTGCGGCATGAATTTTCACACCATCATACCAGTAGCCAAAAGCTGTGTTTTGAGATAAAGTCACGAATAAAATACCCTGACTCAACAGCTTGCAACCAGTTTCTAACATTAAAAATTGTGCATTAATGAAATTACGGCACATCACAACAACAAGAAACTACAAAACGCGATAGGAGAGGAACAGCAATAACTAGATACCAGTGATGCACAGACACAACTTGTGCCCAAGAGAGGCTGTGTGGAGGATTCTTGGTTTTGAAAAATGTGAGCTAAATTAGATGAGAAAACAAGATTACATCCCAAATCCCTCATCAACCCGCTCTCTGCACCCAGACATCTTTCTGGTTCGCTCTTCCAACGGTCGTGGCTCTACAGTTGGAAGTGTTTCTGTGCCTAAACCAGAGGTCTTCAACAGGGGGTCCACGAAGGTACTGCGGGGGGGGGGGGGGTAGCGAAATTTTTGGTTGACAATTTTTTTCCCCACAAATGTAAATAACTTCAGAATCACAATTTCATTTATGGTCTTTAAAAACACATTAACATGAATCCAACATTTTGAAGGGAACGGATAAATTGATGGCGAAGACGTTATCGGTCAGTCCGCAACACACACATTCAGCTTCTCTCAGCAGCTCTCAAGCTGGGCACCGGTTCACTCACTGCTTCTTTCATGACAATACAACAGCGCAGGCACCAGCCAATCAGATCGCGTTTATGCTCACGTCTAAAGAGCGAGAAGCTGAAAAATAAAAGATGGCGGACCAAACTCCGTAGAATAGGGGGTCCCTGCTCCACCTCGCCATCAGTTTGGGGGACCTTGGCTTGAAAAACATTGAAGACCTCTGGCCTAAACGGTTTGACTGCACCTATTAGATGAAGCCACAGATCTCACGAGGGGAAAGTCCTCAAAGCTCGGTACCGCTCTGAAACAGTGGCATCTCACTGACTGACAAGTAGAACATCAACAAATGAGGTAGGGTTTGAGAAAATGTGTTCACCCATAAAGGCGCCAGCTGGGGAAGTTTCAACCGCCTGCAGGGCGGCGCTCACCGGGGTTGCTGGGAGAGACGAGGCGTCACGGTACCAATCGTCCATTGTCTCTCACACAGGAGCTGAAGATCGCGGCTTCAAAAGTCCATTTGGACTAGTTTATCCTAATTGGTTGTAGATGTTAAGAAAAACAACAGTGGGTTCACGTCTGTTTGGAGACGCTGCTCGAGCGATCAACTTGTATGTAAAATGAATATAATATATTGCAGCAACAAAAATTATCGTGGCCATTTTCATATATTTTGGCGATAAGTCAACATATTAATTATCACGACAGGCCTATTTATACAATTACCTGTTAGGAGATATAAATGCGAATATATTTCCACATGCAGACAGCCCGCCCACATGGGCACATTAGTTGGAAATTGCAGAGGCGATTGGTGGGTTGACCTTTCCTCCCTGAGGGGTGAGTGGAAACATGGCGAGCGGGGCCTTAAATAAACACTTCCATGAACTTGACACAATAAAATCTGTTCCCACAGTAGTCACCCAAAGCGGCCGGCTATGCGCTAAAGGCTCGACGAGCCACCAGTCAGCTCTCACTAACAACAGATAGCAAACATAAAATCAAGCCAGAGCGATAGCGAAACCATCAGTTGCACATTTAGCGCACAACAAATTCCTTTTTATTTGACCCGTAGTTGAAAATGCCATCATCAACAAATCACACTGTGATCAAGTTGAACACCGCTAGAATTCCACTAAAGTAAGCGCTTATTCAACAGCACATTACTTGTTCCCAGGACCGTAACACTAATCATGATGGTGTGCTTAGGGCTGCCTTTTTCATTTAATGAACCAGAGGCAGTTTAACACAACATGAATGTGATGAAAAGATAAAAATGGGAGGAAAAGGATGAGAAAGACGAGGCTTCGGCTCAAGGTCTGATTGCTATGTGAGCGTTACCATGGGAAAAAAACAGCCCTCATAGTGCATTTGCTCAGTTATTTCACAAAGCTCAAGGACACCTACGTCCACCAAAACCATAAGTTGCTGCACCAGCTCAGGGTAATGCTTTGCAGTCATAAGACAGAGAGGAGAAGATATGAACACAAACACGCGCACAATCAAATGACAATTCAGCCACACACACACACACACACACACGTGTCCTTAAGTCTGTCTGCGTAATCTCCTACTGACCCGTAGTAGCTTGAGGTTACCCTTGGTCATTGTTGACAGTGATTGCAGAAGCCAATCACAGAGAGTGGTGGACATGACGCTGCAGGAGGCAGTGGAATACCCGTTGGTACGACATTTCTCTATTTTAAAGAAGGCAGGAATCTACTGAAACTTGACGAAATGAGAAATTGATCAACCAAAGTTCCGTCAGTCAGACCAAAATCTCCCATGTTCATCAATAATATTCAAGATGTGAAGGGATTCTATTTTAAATGTATGGTTTTGGTTAATCACTTGCTTTAGTAATTAGCCAACAGCATAAAAGACATTCAGTTTGAGATAATAATTAAAAAAAAAAAAACAATCTAATAAAAGATTTTAAAACTTCTTGTTGTAGCTGAACAGCCCTTATGCATTCACCATGCTACACTAATCACAACAAGATTGCAAGTGTAGCCTGCAGTGCGTTCAGATATATACATCTTGGTAACCACACTAATGTACCTTTTTACGAGCGTGGCATTAGTGTCCGGGCACAGCTACTGTCATCTGAGGATCAATTTGTTTGGCTCCTAACATACACCAAATAGTGTAATAATAAACCTTCACTTGCTCAGCTGTGCCCTCATCTTACTGTAATAACTACCCAGGTGCAGTGGCCTTGCAGTCACCCCCGACTATCAGCATGGTATAGACACGCAAGACGCGAGTGGCTGTTGCCTGTCAACCATACATGAGAGGGACACTCAAACAAACGACACAATTGCCTACAACAACGGCCTAGCTGGAAATGCCACAGGATAGCGTCTGCAGTTTGGTGACTGACACAAACCTCATTTCCTTTTACGGGTGCAAGAACTCTGATGCGCTGCAGGAAACCATCAAAGGTCGTCCTGTTGATGTTCTTTTTTTTGTGTCTCCGTAGAAACAAGGCTCAGTATACCAAAGAAGCTCACCCATAGAGCTAATGTTAACTTCCACGAGTTTCATAAGACGCTGTGAGACCGACGTTAACATATACACATTGCACGCAATGTGTCACCTAAATGGCATGTGATAGTAATATTTGGTACAAATGAAAGGAATGCAAAAGCTTTTATCCAGCCCCCTAAAGAAACCTTGTGGGCAACATGTAGTTGGCTGAAACAAAAACAAAAAGAGAGTCAGTTATGACATGCATTGTCCAAGCCAAACATCATGTCCCTCCTTTTAATCTCATTGGAGAATGTTTAAATCGGTGTTGTCATGCAGGTCAGGGACATTATGAGCAGCTTTGTCAAGCACCAGTATCACCAAACACACTATTAGGAATGTGTAAGAGTCAGATAAGAAAATAAGGTACAATCTAAAACCGACAGCCGGCCAATCCTCTCATAGTTACCCTCCGCCCTGCCCTTGAGCTCATCGCCTTGAAAGCAGCATCCCTTCAACCTCCAATACTGTTATATAAACAAGGATACAAATACACAATCAATACTTTCCTTGCAACATGTCAATCTGCCCCTTCTCTCAAATTAGTGGGAACAAAGAGTCACAGTGTTTGAACTGTGTGCGAAGCAAACCAGGGCGGGATCCATTCGTGGGGATCGAACGCCCCCCAAATTAACAACGGATTACCAAAACGGTCAAATAATTTTGGTTTGACCGCAACATTTTTGGAACTCATTTGGTTTCGACAGCACCTTTACTTTTTAAATAATTTGGCTTTGATGGCCCCTCTTTAGAACAGCACCCTTACACACGTCAGAAGCTTCCTACTGTCAGTGAACCCACCACGACTAAGCGCTTAGAATAACTGTGTGCCTTCAGGTGCATTACGTAACACAATAAAGAAACGTGCCACAAAGTAACAATGTCACATATCTGTGACGGAAACTCAAGTGTTGAGTCGGTTCATTTAATTTGGAAGAAATGAACGACCATGAATGAAACCCCGTCCAAATGACTACCCGTAACGCGTATTTAAAAATATGAGCCAATAGAAAAAGGTAAACATAACAATTTGCCAGTGATAGCGGCGGTGGACCTTGGACTTTGACGTGAGCTCGGCCAAAGCGTGCTGTTGAATTCAAACACATCCGCCACATTTTAATTATCAAGTGAGCGACGAAATTGAGACTTCAAAGTTAGCTAACGTTAGGCCTCGGGTCCACTCTGTCAAATAAAACCTCCACGCGGTCGGACATTTCCCCCATATGTGCATAACATTCACAACAAGCAAAACCAAATAATCCGCATTTCGGCTGAACCCGAAGAAAGCGCGAGACCTGATATGGCTGTCACGAGAAGGACAACGTTAGAATAACGCTATAAAGAGAAAGAGAGAGCGAAACCATCTTACCCAGCACGTAAATCGTAGCAAAGTTTCATGAACACAGAGATAGCCGCTGGTCCGCTTTATCCTTCCGTACACCTGCTGCTCAGGACCACCAAATTAGCGCGAGCCTTCACGGCGAAATCCGCTCACTCGGTGCCTCCATCCCGACGGAGATCCGCTGCGTCCGCCGACTACACGACCCCCGCTGCGCGTCGAGCGAGAGAAAAAATAAAATAAAGACAAGAAACAAAAAAACAGCTCTCCGGTCTGCAGAGAGCCGCTCGGACCAGCACCGTGTTGGCCCCCGGTCCCCGGGGAGCTCGCGGACACTAGCTATAGTCTTCGTCGCTTGTTGATTTCGGAGGAAAACGGGCAGCGGAGCAGGGCCGAGGGAGTCGTGTCAGTGCGCGGCGCTGCTCTCTTAAAGGGGCCGCGAGGCGGCGGAAGACGCGCCGCCGCCTCGCGGCCCCCCGCTCACGTAGCGACGAATTAAAAGACACGTGGTTAAACAATGGCCTCGTTATGATTCCATTAGGCAGTAGTGTAGAGAAACCCGTAATTATTAGGAATAGTTATAGATAGATTTTCTGGATGGAGCACTGTAAAAACTATTTAAAAAACGTGATTCATTTAGCGCTTGTTTCCAGGAAGTCTCCAAGGCAAACGGCAGAGCGGCAAAATAAAAGTAAAATAGTTTGTTGTACAGTGTTAAAGCATTCTGAACTCTTCCAGGAAGTTTTTGAAACGGCCCGGTTTTGTTTTAAAATAAACTACAACTAATTCTACCAAGGGAATGACTTCCAGTCCTGGTTGTGACAGGCCTGTGTGAAGGGCCATTTTTCATGTGCGTACCGGATTATTTCTGTTGCATAAAATAAGAAGTATCATCAATCCTTATTTACTATGACCTCCTGAACCATGACTCATCCCTAACATAACCACAAATAACACACACAAGTGCAAGTATGAGACGTTTGAATGGGACTTTATCTGTGTTTGACTTTAAGGTCAATGTCTCAATTAAGTTCAATTAGGCTGAATAGAGGAGAGGACACTTGATTGTCAGCAGCATTATTACTGAAAATACAGCATTTGACACGTTTTAAGAATATAATTCTGAAACAAAACAACACGACTGCCTTTGAAACACTAACCTCTGCATGTTTGTTTTGTCTGTCTGTGAGTTCTCCTTGTCTTCTGCAGGTAAACGGCATCCAGGAGTTTTCACTGAAGTCCCATTTATCCCTCTCAATTGGAAATTGTATTTCCATGAGATGATGCGACCTTGGATTAACTTCTGACAATCCTGCTGTCGTTGCGCCTTAATGAATGTGGATCAAATAGACAAAGGAAAATAAGAGTTTGAGGCCGAATAGTGAAATGGGTAGAAGGAAAGAGAAGGAGAAACCTGAGACGATTGACTCCTAACCCCATAGATGAGACCATAGATTACCAGGAAGTAATCACAAGTACTTCCTATGCCTGCAGGCAGACTACCAATGAGGCCGGTAAGGATCAGCGTTGTCCTGTCCTCACAAGCCTTGCCCTGGTTATTCTTCGGCTGCCGGGTTGCCGCCTCGTCCTCGCCACAAACGTACAGCCTGCGAGCAGCATATACATAATCATTGAACAGGTGGGCACAAACAAAGGATCAGACCAGTGTCATTTGTGCAGTCATTTATATCTGTCATGAAAGGTGAAAGGTTTGTCCTACCGTCTCAGGTTCTGCTTGTCTGGATGAGACGTCCATGTTGGTGTGGCTTCCGCTGCAAGTGAAGACCAGATCCAGAGAGGGTGCGCGTTTATCGTGCATTCACATTTGTTTAGCCAAATGAGGGACTGACAGAGGGGGGATTTCTGCAGAAGGCCTTTCAAGAAAAGAGAGGTCACGTTTACAGACGTTTGGAAAAAGCACAGGACTTTGCATCACTGATCAGCTCATATGAAAAGCAACAAGGAAACCATGAAGAATGTGACAATAGACAATCTTTTGTTGACAGAATGCTATCCGAAGAAATGTGAATGGCCACAGGTAGGGCTTGATATCTAACTTTTTCAAAGGGCCTTTTAACTTGGCATAGTAGGAAAAGCACAGGTGTTACTAAAATCGTTCCAGTGGGTGAGCCGGCCTTCAGGACCCTGTCAAAGCAGCTAAATGGAATTCAGTTGCCATTAGTATGATCGTCTGTACCTGTACCTTCGCTACCACGACCAGTCAAAATTAAGAGAGAGTTTTTTTTGTTGGATTGTTATGTAAACTGAAGGTCGTTAAAGACAACGGACCTTCATGATAACTTTTACGGAAAAGGGGTTTGCTTGCATTGAACAGTTCCTCTAACCTCTGCATATCGTAGCCTCCTTCAGCTCATCTTGAGGCCTCTGCTATTTCCGTTCACTCTCATCCGCATGGTTTTCCACCCTACGCTATGTGGCCAGCTCGAGACAAAATTAGCATTTAGCTTGCTAACATGGTGAGGCATGGAGCAGCTGAAGGGCCAGATATTGTTCTCAAGAGTTGGAGGAGACCTAAACCAGGGTTTAAAGAATGTAAATGTATGTAAAAAGACACTTTTTGCTGACAGGTTCTGTATCTTTTGCAGGTTATTCCAGCAGCAGATGCTGTATCATTGGATCTGTAAATACTGCTTTTTGGGTTCGGTTAATGATCAGAGAATATGCAGCTAACAAGTGAATGAACGCTTATGGCAAACGTCCAGACAAACACAAAAACACACACACACACACACACACACACACACACACACACACACACAATATATTTCTGCTTTGCGATCATCTTCAGATGTCTTCTAGCAAAACTACTGCTCCTGAGAATTTCCAAATCCACCCTCAGCGATCATAGAAAACCCTGTATTAAACCTCTTAATCCCAAACCAGTATTTTCTAGAGGGTTGCACAACCACGCGCGTCTTATGCAACTGAGAGCATCCAGAGTCAATTATAGAAAAGGGATGAAGAGGAGGATGGATGATGAGGCTGCTGATGCAAAGCACACTCGGATGAAATGGTCGATCGAAAACATTTTCTTATTTTACTGCTATCAGAACAGAAATATTCTTAAACCGACCCTTACCATGCACATTTTAAATTCCCCAAAAGCTTCTACATCAGAGCACTGCGTTTCCAACTTGTGCATAAACCGTTCTGTGAAAACCTCTATCCCTTCCTGTGGGAGACTTCTGTATTTGCTTTTTGGACAGGGTTGATGTCAAAAATGACAGTGTGTCAAAATGTGTGCTGATGTGGCCCGGGCCAATCAATCGGATCAAACCATACCCACGCCCTCTTGTTTAAACTAAAGGAGTCTCACTTTAAGAGATTCCGCTCATTTTCTAATCCTTTCCATAACCGTGGTCACACAGATACCAGGACCCCACCCCCTCTCTCTGTCCCTCTCTCTCTCTATGTCACATAGCCTTCTTCACCAGTAGATGGCACAACTGGATCAGTCGTCCTCTTCCCTCCTGCCCGGTGTTCGGCACAGGGATTTTCTTCGGGGTGTCAACTGCGGCTGTCACAGAGTCTGAATTATTTAGTCTGCCTGGCTCTGATGGAGCAGAGATAAAGAGGAGGGCAGCGCGTCAGTCTGATAGACCCATGAGACCGTCTCCTTGTGCCTCCTCAACTCCTCAAGTTTCAAGTCCGAGCTGTTATTGAGAAACAACACCTGATAAAATGATATCTGTTTTGAAACACTCATCATCGGAGGTTACCGTCATAAAGACAAGAGACAATACAGAACACACATCTACTACAAACCTTTTGACCCGCTACCTGTTTGAGGAGACCTATTTCATATTTGTACCTCATGTCACCTGAGGAGAGGACGGGCATGAGTTGCCGTGACAACTCGCCACCCAATAGGGTTGTGAAACCTGATCATCCCATCTAACATTTCACTACGCTACCTCACAATTGTTTACTTGGCAATACCCACTGGCAGCAGGATGTACAGTATGTGTTCTGGTTTTGTGTGATGGTCTTGTTACAGTTGTCCCCAGGCCAGGCTGAAACCTCTACGTCAAGTACACATAAGTCGTCCTATCTCCTCTATGCCAAGACATGAAGATAAGAGAGTGATTTTACGGCCTGCGATGACATAATTCCCATACATTTCAAAGGCAGAAGGCGCATTCATGGTCCTGTCTGACCTCAGCAGCTCTTTACCTCTCCCCAGTTCTTTGATCAAGTAATGCTAAGTGCATCTCTGCTAATAGGGCCCACGTGGCCGAAGAAAAATCCCTCCAGGCATTAAAGTGAAGGGCGGCGCAGAGGAGGCTTACCTTGGAATGCCAGAGCAAAGTGGCTGTTCTTAAAGTGGGTTGAGCTGTGGAAAAACTATGTCAATAATGTGGGGAGGAGGCTGAACAAAGTAAATGATCAGAAAGTAAGGCAAATTTCTGTTCCCTACATGATACATTTTTTTATGTAACCTCTAGTTGCTCTCCAGTATAATCCATGAAAAATGTGTGGAAACACGATGTGTGCCCTGCAAAGGTCGGCATCAAAGAGAGGTGATTGGTTAGGAACGGCTGCACCCTTTGTTCTATGAGGATTAACACAGTCCCTCAGACTTCTAACAACTTTGAAACACACACATACACACACACACACACACACGCTTCTTATGTTTAATGTTGACCTTCACAGGAGAGCGGTCAACCTTTAACCTTACTTCCTCCTATACAGCCTCAGCACAGCGATCACTGACAGTTGGCGGCGCTCTGTTCACTGGGCACAGGACAGATGGAGACAGTGAGACTGCTCCCCTCATACATTACCTTGTATGGACAACGTCTCCATAAAGCGTGCCCGAGCACTTCACGCTACACCTCTGTTGGATACCTTTCATCTCTGATCGGTTAATTCCAAACCTCCGTCTATTTATCCGTCCCTTTGTCTCACACCCAGTGATTATTCTTTCTCTGGTATTATTATATAACAGAGAAGGAATATAATTATAGTGACAAAATAGGGGTATTGAAGCATTTCTGCAGCTGGCGGTTGTAGATTAATTCTCCTTATATTCATATTGTTTATTGTTTATCTGGTTGTATCACATGGAATGATGATGCCAGTTGAGATCCAATGTTGTAAACTACTCATTAAGATATTTGCAAATGTAAAAAGCCGTATGATATCCAGCAATCAAAAAGATAAACAATACAGATATTGTGATATGGCATCATTATGAGGCTGCCGGTTTCCAGTAAGGACACAGGACCTCTATCGCACACTTGCCCCACATGTGATCACCTACTCCTCTAAAACTGTAGAAGAAGTAAGTTCAGATGTCCAATACTTATCACCTGTTGGCTCTGAAAGAGTTTATATCAAATACTTCTCCTCCAGTAGTGTGTGTGTGTTTCAATGTAACAGGCTCCACAAGATGGATAAAAATTCATCATTTCTTTAATTTTACAGTCACAATCATGTTTTCTTTCCAGTGTCTCCAAACCATAAAAAATAAATATACATTATGTTACAAAACATTTCCAGTGTCTTAAGTGAGTCCTAAACACTTTAAGTTAGCTGCAAAATGCATGGAGTTGGCTTCATTCCCGCTTTTAACTCAGATCCAAAAATTCAGTAAGAAAGACAGACATTTATTAACCTAAAGCGTTGACTGTGCCGACATCAGTGGAAGATCTGAACCAAACCTCTAAGCAGGTGCTGCGAAAACTAAACAAAGGTCGCTCTTATCGCTGTTATATTTGGAATAAAAGTGAGTTAATAATGAAACTGATTCCAAACCCAACGTGCACATTTACTGTAGATCATGACTTTGGTAACCAGGAGTGTGTTGTATTGGAAAATAATGCGGGTTGGACACTGGAAAAGAAGGCTTCAGGTTCATAGTGCTCAAACTGAAAAACAGGGAGGGGGAATCCCTCTCTATTCCACGTAGTTAATGTTCATTCATGCTCACCACTCTGTACTTGGGACATTCTAGGTCACTCTCACACACAAATACAACAGTCTTGCAACCATCATACGCGTGTTTGTGTGTCCGTGTGTCTGTATCTCTAAAGCCCACTACGGGCCAATACAGTATGTGTTTGTTTGTGTAAGGCCTCAATTCAGAATTGTTCTCGGTGGAACAAACAGGCATATCAAGTGATTTTCACGATTGGAGAGCTCTCCCCAACTTAACAAAAGGCAGATGATTTTTTTTCTAGCTTTAGAAACTTGTCCAAGCTACAGCTGAAATACAAAATAGGTAATTTCTTCTTCAAACAATATCTACATGTTAATTACACTTTAAATGCATTGCATTGAGAGGCAGGAAAAGCCTTTCTTTGAGTAAAAAAAAAAAAAAGAAGAGCACTTGATTGAGACGTCTAGTATCAGACTCTGATATGTCCAATAGAAAAGGTGTCACGAGTGACACTTAAGGGGATTTGGAGACCTTGAAATCCTTCGGCACGACAAACATACACCAGCATGTATTTGAGTCTGGGTTCATACACAGGGCTTGTCCATCCGACATTTTTCAAAATGTCCTAACTTTACCCATCGAGGGGGAGAATTAACCACACGGAGGAACACCATTTCCAGTCCCCGTTTCCTACAGTGGTTTTGGCACACGTCCTCTTTGATACAGTCCCAAATTCCCTTTTTTTATTTTCCACATCTTCTCATTATCTCTGCAGTCTTACAGTCTGCAATTAATACTGCTCTCCAGAAAGAAGGTCCGTGAGCGGAGGGACGGAGGATGGACGGATCGGGCACGGAGAACACCGTACCCCTGCTTTCACCCAATCTGCAGCACTTTGTCTATCTATTCTTTTGTTGCAGTCCTCTCGGCTCTCCTTTCCTCTTCTTCTCCCCCAGCAGGTTCATCGCTCCTCCTCTCACAGGGGCAGGCTGGTCTGAGTTTTCCTAACAGGTCAGATCGAAGTCTCGTTACTGCCACTGTCGACAGAGGGGACGGAGGGAGGGAAAGAAGAGGGGTGAGGGATGCAGGAGGGGGGTGCAAGGGGTAAGGAAGGTAGAACGTGCAATGTGAAAAAAAAATGAATGCAGGAATGCGGAGAAGTAATCATGCAGCACGTTAGCAGGAGGGTAACATTATTCATGCTACAGCCGAAGGAAATGCAGTTATTGGCTTTGTTGGCAAGAGTTACGTGACGAGATCAATACCACGTCTGGGAGTGTCACCAATTTCCGCTTTCAACTCTCGGTAAGAAAAGTCTACTCCTCAAAAGTCCTTTGACCATTATGAGGCATGCATTAAAGAAAAAAAGTCACATGCCAACAGTACTCCACTGAGAACTACTTACTCTGAGTCAGACCCGTTGCCTCCGTTGACCGTCCCTGACTTCAAGTGCATTGCCACCCCCCCGTTGGTCTCCTGGTAGGCCCCCGCGGACGGGGCCCCCGTGGGTATCTGCGGCCGCGGGGCGACGGGGGGCTTGACGAGGGGCTTGACGAGGGGCTTGACGAGGGAGCTGTTTTCGTGGTTGCCGGGGCGACCGCAGTCGTTGGTGGCCAGCGAGGGCGGCCGCGACGAGGGGCTCATGATGTTGACGGAGGAGAGGGGCGGGGGGGAGGTGTGGTTGTTGTTTGGGGGTGGGGAGGTGATGGTGGGGGTGGGGGTGTTGTAGTCGCTCAGCTTCTCCCTCAGACGGTTCTTCATGTTCTTGTCAGTCAGCGGCGGGGGGTAGCTGATCTTGTTCTTTAAGATACCTGGGACGGACACACACACATCATTCCAATGTAAGCCCCGTCCATCAGTTCAATTCATTTTCCTCCAGAAGAAGGTCTCTCCTCTCACCTCTCCTCTGCTCCGGTTGGTGGTTGCTGTTGCCTTGGGGCTGGCTGGCCGGAGCTGCGTCTCTAGCGTTACCGGCCGTTTGTTTGTCTCTCTCCGGGAGAGTCTCCCTCTCTCTTTCGCCTACGTGGTTGAGCTTATTTTCCGGATGGAGCTCCACGTTCACCTTGGTCTCCACCCTCAGCCTCTCTGCCCCGCCGGGATCCTCGCTGTCACTGGCTGTGGTGGCCTCCGTTGGCCAGTAAGGCTTCACGTGATTGGATACTGACTCCACTAGTGGAGGGTAAAGAGACATATTGGAATTGGAACTTGTCTTATATACACTTTAACAGTTTTAAAGTTTATTGCATGCTTTATATACACTTCATCTGAAAAGTTATGACAGATGTCAAATGTGGTGGAGTCAAAGTAGCAGCATACACCCGTGTGAAGCAGGAGCATGTAATGGAAGTGGCCATTTGTATTTGTGAGTGAATGCACTCCGATCATACATCACGTTTAGGCCCGGTAGCACCACGCATGTACCTTTAGGGGTGCTGTGAACGGGCTGCCTCTCGTTGTTCCACTTGGGCTTGACATCCATGTCGTCGTCCTCGCTGTCGGAGGAGTGGGAAGAGGCGTAGGACGAGCTGTGCTCGTCCACTGACAGCTCACTGTCCGAGTCGGAGTCTGCTTGGGTGAAAAGAGCGAAGGCTGAAGGTAAAAAATAATGCACAAGGTAATAACTTTCCTATGCAGGCAAATGAGTGAGACCCACCATCTCCCTTGGTGCCGTTCCTGTGGAACAGAGGTCCATCCAGGTCAGTGTATCCTTTCGCTGTTCCCGAGGAGACACTGGGCTTCTGACCAGACTCCTCCCTAGAAACAGTGGAAGGGATGGGAGGAGTAGGAAGTATGAGAGGGAGAAAAGGGAGAGGAAAAGAAGCGATGGAGGTAAAGAGGAGGGGTTGAGTAGAGCGTTAACTCAAGCCCAAACTTGCGGTTTGACACTAATGTTCAACAGCTGAAACCCAAGACATCTCTCATTACAAAACGTTTACCTCTGTCAATGGCTAAAGACTAAAACAAATATCAAATTGTGGTTTAGGTGTGCAGTCCTGCTTGCGGCTCCATTATCAACAGAAATTGAACATAGAAGATTAATTTACGGTTAACCTATCCCTATACCTGCTATTACCTCCACTACTGCTCTCCACCCGTAACCGTTTAACCCAAATTTGGGTTGGGATGTTGGCTGAAAGGCAGAAACGGAACTGGAGACTCTCACCCGTCTGATGGCTGATCAGAGAGACACTCCTGGAAGCAGCTGAAGACGTGCCAACCGCCGCAAGGAAGGAGCATGTGTCTGTATCACATTCCCACTCAAACAGGTACAGTCCCATCCCTCTTATTTCCCATGTTTATTTCCCTGTACTCTGTCTACGTCCTCCTACCCCCCCCTGCTTCTCCTCCTTCTTCTCTCCCTATATCCCCCGTTTTCCATGTGCCTCTCGCACGGGCGGCACGCAATCCCCCCTTCCGGCATATTAGCTCGCCGACCCCTATGGTGTCGGCTCGCGTTACCCAGATGACAGCTTTATGAGCCGAGGCGTACAGCAGTCACACCTCACATTGGTCCTGTAAAACTCTCTACACCACCAGGTATATGTAACACCTCTGCACTGCGATGAAACACGTCTGTGATACATACAAACACAGAGCGGTACAACATTAGTCTGGGACGATATAGGCTACTTCTGTTCTTCTTTTTTTTATAGAACGGAATCCAGAATACACTGGTTCAAAATGCAGAATGTTGAGTTGAAATAGCAGAAAAGGTATTTTAAAAATATACACTCAATAGATAATATCTTATAACACATATTTCAATAAAAGCTATTGCAAATTGTGCTAAATTGTTGTTATAAAAAAAACTAGATGAACTATGTAGCACTACCAGACTGAACTACATTATGTACAATGTTGTTCAACTACAACGTTTGTTCATATTTGATACCATCGGAGATAAAGATCAAAGTAAAGTCTATTGTGAAGATGCAAACACAGATGCAAACAATGTTTATATATAGACATACACACAAATTATTATGGTGCATGGCAAGGGCCTCTCCTTTTGTGAACTGTAATTAGTAAAAGAACAAATATGATATATTTGACGCTGCAAAACTAAATATGCTGAGTTGCAAGTCAATAAGGTTCTCGGTTTTACCATTCTTGCACACATTATGTTACTCCCCATAAGAAACCGCTGTGTTTGTCCCACTTTTCTGCGTATGTCAATGGGAAAGGACCCGTCTTCTGTTGCATGTGTGGTTGCGCACCAAAGCCGTGCGTCATGCACTGGGAATCCTCAGCATGATCTTTCATTCAAGCACAGTTACTGCACAATGCAGATGCAACTCTGTGGCAGCATGCATGTGCGGAAGAAAGGAAGAAAGGTCCGAATGTAGAAAACTCTGCGTCCTAACTCATTCTTGCTTTGGATAAAGCCGCTAGTAAGGGCAGGATGTGTGTCTACTGCAAAGTGTCTACGTGAGTTTATATACAAATAAACTTGGGGCTGTGGATTAGTTAGTACGTGTGAGGCGAGCAACGAAAGACAACCAAAAGAACGGAGACAAACAGCTTGCATGCGCCAACACACACACACATGCACAGCAGTGTATTAGAAGCAGCCGTGCAGTCAGTGAGCGTGTTGTACCTGAGTGTGTATGCCAGGAAGCTGCTGCGGCTCTTGGCTGACCTGAGCGTGCTGTCAAGGGAGACGGTGGACTCGCCGATGCCCGAGCGGTACAGCTGGCCGTCTTCTGTGTTCGTGTTGTTGCAGTTGAGAGAGCGCTGACGGATGGGCGGGGGGGGACGGACAAAATAAATCAGACTTTCATTCGACTGAAAAAAATGGATAAATGAGGCGTAACTGTCGCTCATGTAGCTCACTGTCAGCAACGAGGCCCTCGTGGTGCTGGATTCGTCTGGCACACTCTTCTTTCCTGTGAAGATGTTCTTGAGGTTTTTCCTCACCTCATTGTTGAAGATCACGTGGAAGAAGAAGATGAAGACTCCCTGTGAAGAAAAAAGCAAAAGAGGCGCGTTCAAAAGAGCGGAGCCGACAACGGTGATCATCAAATAGAGAAGGGTCTAGTCCATCTAGTCAATGGCCGTGGAGGTTCTACATTAACTCTGTGTTACCTGCAGACAGCTAAAGCCAGCGAACAGGTAGTGGAAGGTCAATACGTCACTGTTGACCGCCAGTAGGCCAAGCATCCAGGTAGCACTGATGAGTAGCAGCAGGAGGAAGGCCATCCGAAGCGCAGGACTGAGGAGGAAAAAAGCAGATGGATCAGCTTCAAACGGGGCCAAAAAGCTGTGCTACTTTAGCTTTTATCATATAGGATTATCAGTGGGACTTACATAGCTCCTGACTTCTCCATAGCCTTCTGTCTGCGACCACATGAAGCCTTCGCGGCCAGAATAAAGATCACTATGTTCACCTTTAAGGAGCAGGTGGTAAGAAAGAGACTTTGTGAACAAAATAAGTCATTGGCTTTTGTATAATTGGCATCTATCAGGACTGTTTGAGGAATTGCATTTTGACATTATACATCATTGAGATGAATATGAAAGCACTTTCCAACTAGTTTGGTTTAATCTACAACACTTAATGACCCCAAAAACATTTCACGGTCACATACCAGGACGACGACAAGGATGGGTCCTGCGAAGCTCCAGATGAGTGTGTCGTGGACAGAGAGCCAGCAGAAATCTGGGTTCCCATAACCTTGCGGGTCCAGACCTACTGCCAAACCTGGGAACACACAAAACGCCAGTGTTAGCACTGTGCTCCAGTGCAAGCAGACACACGTTTTGTTACTCCCTCATTCTCATTTCTTATCTGTATGAGCTTTTATAGTATCACTTTGTACGTTTATACGTCTCTCACGTGTGCCTCCTTCCAAATTCCAATCATGTACGCTTTGCTAGCTTCCAATACTGTCAAAACACTTCAGCACATAGCCAAGCATTTGACATATTACTGTAATCCTATCAGGCATCAAAGGGTTGCGAAGTCAAATATGCAATAAATTCTAGTTTTGAAAAAATAGAAACCAGATGATGGAAATGTAATGTTACATTCATGTCAAGAGACAATGAAAAGGGGCCATTAACACAAATACATACAACAAATGTGTGTGTCTCACCAGTGATAATGGCTGGAATGCCCCAGCCCATGGCATAGTAGAACCTCATGTGGCCATGGTTGATGTTCCGCAGCTCGGTCAGCATGCGGTAGATGTGCAGCCCCTCCACGAACATCCAGGCAAAGGTGCACATGTAGAAGTAGTGGAGGAGGATCGCTATCACCATACACACAAACTGGAAGGAGATGAAAGAGTATTGCAAGCATGAGTCTACATCTGAAGAGAATCCACACAAAAAAGAAGCTTTGTTATGTGATTAAAAAATGATCCCTATGAAATGTATTTGCTGTCTTTCTATGTTTTAAATCATTGTGAATAAAATACTTTTGGATGTTGGACTGCAACTGGAAAATGTCTCGTCGGAATTGGACATTGTTGATTGATGACCAATTCTGTCACTTTTTCAAATTGTATTTATAGCCCCAATGGTGTTTACCCTATGGTGTTTGTCTATGCATGTGTGCGCTATGAGATAGATTTATCTTTTGACTCTGCCCCGCCCCAGTCATTTCTATCTCTGTTAGTAGGTGTGGGCGGGAGTGGATAGAGTCTGAGATTCTTCCCGATCCGTTGAGCTGGCTTTTTCGGGCGATCTCAGAGCGAGAGAGAGATACTACTTTGACGGGATGGTAAATCATCCCTCTGAGGGCCCCGGGCGCACACCGGCAGCATTCCGCAACAGAACGCGCTCACACACACACACACACACACACACACACACACACACACACACACACACACACACACACACACACACACACACACACACACACACACACACACACACACACACACACACACACACACACCTAAAACTATTTAACGGACATGCATGCACAGAAGACTTTGATTAATTGAGAGTGATAGGAAAAGGAAGGAACACATTCAACTTCTTCTTTCCCTTTCTCAAATCTACTTTGCTTTTTGTTGATCATTGCAGTACAGTGTGTTGTGAGTCAGTAATACAGTTTCTCTCGTCCCAGTCATAACACTGTGAGTCAGAACACACAAAAATACCCCTACAATATATCTGGAACCTTTCCTCTTCCTCTTTAATGTTGGACCCTTTGCTTCCATTTTTCACCCGATAAAGACATCTCTATATATGTACAGTATAGTATATGAAATTATGGTGGGGAGACTGAATTGTTCGGCAGATTTAGTTAAATTAGTTGGTTTAAGTTGTCTAAATCTTTAAATCTGTAATTTTCTGCCCTTAGGCTTTCCTCGTGATGAGGTGTTCCCTTTTCATTAAAAAAAGGCATTGATAAATATTGTGTAAGCTATACATCCTGAATTGACTAGACTTTAATCTCTGATGAACATCTGGTTGGTGGCATGTGGTTGGCGGCTCCTGAAAGCCATGGTGATTTGGGACTGACAGCTGGGTCTCATGATCTTGTGACGTCTTGTGTGACTGTCGACATCTGGTTTGGCCAGACGAGTCAGAGCTAGAGTTTCAAAATTACCGGGAAAGTTGGAGACTTTCCATGGGAATTAAGAGGAATATTTTGGGATAATTTAACCATATTTACCTTGTCATAAGCAGACACGCATGCAAACATTTCTAATACAAATTTTTTAAATGACATTTTTGCGACTTTTCTATAGTTTCAATGTTTTTAAACTATAAGCATACCTCATATGATACTGGTAGTTGCACAGTATTGCTTTAAACATTTAATTGCCTTGAACTTAAGCCAAAGAAGCATCAAACAAAGTGCTTTAAAATGAGAAAATTAGACAATGTTCAATTAATAGCAATTACCATGACATTTGTAACACTATACGATTTAGACAACTGCTTACATAACAATATAATTGGTTAACAATATCTCTATTTAATTGTGCAGTTTAGACCTAAAAAGATCAAGAATTCTGTATGTCAACTTCATCTGTCTCCCTAAAGCCTTCCAAGTGTCTAAGCCCTCCAAACTTCAGTTCTTCTTTTTCTTTCTCCCTCTTCAAAAAAGCAGGATTACCCGCCAATTAACATTTTCACAATGTTTTCTGAACCACATTATCAAGTGAAACTAAGAAGTTGTTTTGGGATGCCTACCGCCCTGAGGGCGGCTTCTGGAGACAGGCACCAGTCACAGCATGTCTCCGCTCCTGGCTCATAGAGGCGTGTGTTTGTAGGTGTGTGTGCGTGTGTATCTGAATGTCTGTGTCATCAGACTTCACAGAGTTCCCACACCTTTGGATCCCTTAAATAATGGTACGTGTGTGTGTGCAAATGCATGGTTACTGCGACCTTCCCGACTGCAAATTACATTAGGAATTTAACATGATTAGCTGATTGGATTTCTGCCTACTTACTTTATACTAACTCAGGATATATATATATATATATATATATATATATTTTTTATCCAGATCCAGCCGGGCCCGTCGGCTGAAGTTAAATCCGCTCCCGGAGGGCTATATTGGGAAAGGGCTTTGGAAACCAGCACATTCCTCACCATTGCGCTCCTTAGACTAGCATCAAATCACATAATCTGTCAAATAGAGACCGTCTCATCTAGGCCTTGGCCCAGTAAGCCTGGTAAAGTCCCTATCAACGCAATGTTTACCCGCAGGCCAAACAAATATTGCCTGGCAGTTTTTAACACAATGAACGTGAGACGAGAATAAGACGTCATTATCCCACTTCAAGTTGCACAATGCCACAAGCACGGGAAAGGGGATAACTAGTGTGATCCTGTGTCATATCCATCTGTGTTGTTTCCACCCCAGAAGAAGTAGAAGAAGAACTACCTGTACAAATGTAACAAGCAGAACAAGCGGCCAAGGCTGTTTGGTGTCACTTTAATGGTTATAGAATAACTTGAACCAGCCACACTGAACCAGGGTACGCCAGGCCTCCCTGCCATCACCAAGCAGGGGGTACATGGAGAACTGGTTGAGCGGACTCAAACACACAAGTGGGTTCAGCTGTATGCCCGGGACACTTCGCTTTGCAATTAAGCGTGTATTCAAATGAGTCAATTAGGTCGCTACAGTTCATTAAATGTTTCCCCAAACCGCTTTAATAGTATCTCAGATTAACAGTTGAATAGTTTCATAAAAGGGATGGACGGTTAAGATAATCTATAGCACTCACCGGGTTGTCGGTCTGATTGATGCCGAGCAGGAAGACGAGCTCAGAGAAGAAGAGCGCCGCCACCAGGTTCCTGTGGATGGCGTGGAGGTTGGAGCGCAGCCGGCGCAAGAGGCACAACAGGATGAAGGTGAGGAGGAGGAGGAAGAGGGAGACCGACACCGTGGTGTAGGTGACGATCTTCAGTGGGAGAACGTCGCCGTGCTGCGGGGAGCGGCCACAAGACATCGAGGCCAGGAGTCAGTTGCGAGGCAAAAGGCAGAAAATAGCATCTTGCATGTCATTTTTCTTTCGCCAATACCTCTCGCTTGGAGATGTCCATGAGCACGGCGAAGCTGGTCATGTGGTTGCACTGACAGCTGATGTGGCTGTTGTTCCTGTTGAGCACCTCACAGCCTTTAGCAGACCAGCCTCCCGTACCCCCGATCCTAAACGCACAAAACAACGCGTACCACGTGGGGGGGGGGGGGGAACAATCAAAAATCTTCTAAATGCTGTTTAGTGTGCAAGATTGAATTGATTTCCACACGTGATGCAGGGGAAATAACTCACGTGAGGGAGTGGTTCCAGAAGACACACACAGGCTTGGTCCTCTCCTCCGTCTCCAGCATGGTGTACTCCAATGTGATGGGGGGTTCCAGGACGGGAGGAGGAGGCGGACCCTCACTGTGCACCGTGGCGGTTACTATGGCCGTGTTGATCACCGGACGGTTCGGCAGCCTGTACAGAAAGAAACAACAGAATCTTAGTTTGACCTGAAAATATTCACTTGACGTTACATGTGCTTTTTTTGGGGTTTTATTACAGAGATGCTGTAATAATGTACACTAGTCCGTCACCATAAAAGTGAAAACTAGCTTAAATTTGGTCAGTTACTGTTATCCTTTTGTGAACTTTTGAGAGTTTTATAGGTCTGTTTTCTTCAAACAGAGTAAAAATGATGACATGTACTTTGACTGTATTTAATCTTCATACTTTAATCCCAGCTGAGTGCTTGAGAAATGTCGTCGGCACTCTTCTGACAGTGTCTGACAAAAACACACAGTAGAAGTAGGTCTTCTGAAGGTAACAGCGATGAAGTCATCGGCAGGCCTAAACTTACCTCAGACTCCTGCGGTCGGGGTCGTATCTCTCCGGCAGGAGCTTCCCCAGCGATTTGTACACTATCACCACGGCAACCGGCAGAGGAGCAGCTGGCTCAAGGTGGCGCCTTCTCCTTTCAGACACTGTGTGCTCCTCCTCCTGCGGGGGATCGGTCTGCCTTGGAGGGCCTGGGGTGGGCTCTGCTGGGAGGGGATAGCGAGAGATAAAAAGACAAGACCACCACTGAAGCGCTGCATTTCTGACACATTCTGAAGCGTCAAACGGCGTGATCCAGCAGGCGCTCCTGACCTCTGTTGCCCTGAGTGCGGGGGTTGAAACGTGGGAACTGGACGGACGACCCGAGCTCTTTGGAGTAGTCCTCCTGGATGTCCTGGAACCGAGGCAGAGTCGCCCTCTGCGGGTCCGACACGTCCAGGTAGTCCACGGTTAGAACTAGGTGAGAGGCAGGAAGGAGAGGAGGGGCAAGGGTGAGGGCCGCGTGTCAGGTGTGATCGCGTTACACAACGTGTGATCGCTGCTCCTCCAACTTACTCATGTTGTCGGTGACGATGGTGAAGGGTTTCAGGTAGGTCTTCCTGACGTTCCGTGCCAGCGTGTTGGCGTAGTCCTCAAAGTTGCGCAACAGGTGGGCCGTGCCGCCTTCGGTCTTCTGGATCTGCTCCCAGTGCTCCTTGGTGTCGGGATCCAGTATGGCGCTCCCAGCTCGCACCAAGTTCTGGAACAATCCAAAAGGAAGCAAATGGTGTGAATGAAGCGGCGCATTGCAGGAAATTATGCACATTATGTAAAGATAAGCATAAGTTTAGCATTGGTGGAACTATTAGATAACTACAGTGAGGAATCAACCAGTGGAGGGCAGTGTGCCACCAGAGCTCCTAGTTTTAAATTAGAGCATTCAGATATCTTTCAATATGTTTATTGGGACTTGGAAATTGATTCATTTTGCAGAAGCTGATCAGGTGAATCCGGGACGTTTTCTTGTCGTCTACCTCGTTGAAGTCGGCGTCTCTCATGGCGGTGAGGTCGAACCCCTCCTGCAGGCTCTCGTACTGCAGCACGTGATTCAGCAGCTGGGCGGCGGTCTTCACGTCGTTGCCGTAGTAACGCTGGCTGCTGTTAGTGGCGCTGTGGAGCAACCGCACGATGGCCTTGGAGTGCTCGCAGTTCATCCTGGAGCTGTTGCGACGCAGATCCTCGTTCTGGAAGGGAGGACGGTGGAGGGATGAAAATAATGGAAATCGGTCAATGCCAAGATTAGTGGCGCTTTGAGAAGATCACGCCTCGATAGGTGCAATGCTATAAACAGAAAGGGGTTTCAAGCACGAATAAAATATAAGTAAAAGTTCTAAACAGGAAGGAAATAATAAAAAGCCTGGCTAAATCACTAAGTCTCTAAGACCACCTGATACATTTTTGGATCTCGTCTGTGGTTGAGTACACAGAGTAAGTTTTTGAATCTCGCATTGACTTCACATGAACCGCCTCTGTTGAAGACACAACAGCTCCTTTACGATCCATAGCTCACTCGTGGTCATTATGAAGGGAGACTTGTGCAATTTAGGGAGGCATGGGATGAGAAGTTCATGATCAGAAATATTATTTTTACTCTGAGGGCTTCATGTACCTAAACAAGTTGTATTTTGTGAAGCACTCACCAGTTTCTTCAGATGGGAGAAGCTGACCGTGGTGCAGTTGAAGAGCTCAGGTGACAACCAGCCCTTCTCATCGTTGCAATGACGAATAGCAGTGCCTTAAAAACAAAAACTGACTTTAAATATGTTATGTATGGACACAAGGACAGCAAAGTAAAACATTCTCTCAACTATATGAAGGAAAAGTAACACCACACTTTGTTAAATATTTTGAACAGATATCTGAAGGATACTTGATTTTGTTGTAACAGTTAAATACCTTTTAACAATATAAAATTCGGAATATCTCTGGTTTAAATCAACACTCGCTTTCGTCTGATTCAGAAAAGACTTCACGAAGATGCAAAGTCTCTTCTGATGCTGTTGTTGCAAAAGGCAAAATGGCCGGTGAGTCGTAGCGGCGAGCAGCCGTAGCGTGTAAATTCACCCAATGGGTGTGAGGAGAAGACAAAGGGGTCGCCGTGGTGACGGCGGTATCTAAGGGTGCAAGCAGGAAAGTGACGGGGCTTTGCTGAGGAACAGGTCAGTGAACTTCCTTTCTTTCTCACACGACTCTACGTGGAACTGGTGTTGTTCGAGGAGGCTCCACGGACAAACGTGCGCCTGATTGGCCGGTGAGAAAACTCAGTGGTGGATCATTGGACCATTCAGAGAGCTTTACCACTGTGTTTTTGATCTGCACATAGCAAGTGTGTGTGCTTCTATGCCTTAAAATACATGAGCCCACTCAGCCACTCATGACGCGTAATCCAATTGCTGTAAATATGTTGGCACATAAAGTGAGACCATGTGACTTAAGAACAAAGGAAACAAAACAATCTGTAGTGCAAATCATAAGTAATGCAACAGTTTTGACCTGTAAAGTGTCACTTGTTCTAATAGCTTTTGATGGCTAAACTAAACTAACATTTCATAACAGGTCCAGTGGCTTACTTTGTGGTGTTTTTCTTGTGTTGGTATACAGTCACTATGCCGAGAATAAAACTATTGTCAGCCAGATAAACAAAGCTAAAATAACCACCAGCCGGTTAGCTGGTCATAAAAATGGAAAAAAGCAAAAGCGCGAGCCTGACATTCATTCGGAACAAAATTATTCCGTACGATTTAATGTACGACTTAATGTCAACATTGACATCAATCTGGATGTCATTGAGGGGTCTGAAACTCTTTATATCTCCAAGCGAACTGCACACGGTTTTGCATTCATCTAGTGCCAAATAATTACAGAAACACGTTGCTTCTGTCCGCAGAGGCCTTAAAAAGCACTCACCGACGGATCCTTTGGGACAGTTCATGGCGGCGGGGCGTCCAAATTTAGTCTTGGGCCACCAGACGCCTGCATCAAAGGCCTTGGGGCAGCCCTCGTACACCACTGTGGAGGAAAGGACAAACGCGGGTTATGGTGGTTATAATGTGACTATGGTTTGAGAAGGTGCACAGACACACGGCTTACGTCACACTGATGTGTCAGGCAAATCAAGCAGCATTACAAAGATTAAAAGAAGTGCATCAGAGACTGAAGACTGGACTGAACATGTAACAACATTAATTACAGTTGAAAAGGTAAACGACTGCTTTAGTTCCTCAGGATGCCACCTTGCACAGTGGCATTCGCCCAAATTAAGCCTGCTGAGCCCTGAAGCAAGCTGGGATACATAATTCATCTCAGGATATCTCCGTTAATACATCTTGAAGACAAACTAAGCTGGGACCTGCAAGCTTGTTTTCTTATTTGTAGCTCCCTGCAGCTGCACACAGCCTTTAATCCCTTTAGAAATGTATTACATCTTAAGTGCGACTATCACATAACTTCTTTAGTAAATCTGTTTCATTTAGACAAAATGACTGCTGTCTTAAAAGGTTCAGTTGGATCATGCTGGCCCTTTCTTTCGGGGTCATTTCTTCAATAGCACATTCCGTCACTGCTAAAGGCTGCGGTGACATTAGCCGCTGTGTTTGGGTTCAGAGCTGACAGATCACATCTCAGTGAGCCGCAGGACATCACCAAAGCAACATCTCGCTTGTTTCCCTCTGCCATCTCCACTCCCTCCATCACTCCTTCTGTGCCGGTCTTAAATGCGCTCGGTCCAAAATGAACAAAGCCTGATTCTTGAGCAAAAGATTCACATTCATCTATAGTCCAGACACGTTCTGAGACCGGAGAGCTTCATATTGGGTCAAAGAGTCAGCACATTGACATTCAGTTTCTCTTCATGGTTTTGTCTTCTATTCATCGTTCTACTGTATAGTGTGTGTGTGTGTGTGTGTGTGTGTGTCCACTGCCAAGTCAGCTCACCAGCCAGACTCGCCTCTTCTGCTTGACTGGGCAGCGACAAAGGCGAGAGGGTTAGCTCAACTGGGGCACCAGCAGACGTGAGCGACAGTATTTGTCTCCGATTGACACTTTGATTCATCCGGCCCCCATTTAAGAGAATAATAAACCCAATTTCTGATTAAAAAATAATAATTGTTTGATTCATTTCTGTCCTTGTTAAAGTCAGAACAAACCCTTTTTTGTTAACACTTTCACTCTTCTTTGTCAGTATTTTGTAATAGCTTTGGACTTTCTATGTGAGTATTTGGCTGATTTAATCCCTGTCTATTTAATATTAGTAAAAAATAAACTCTTCTACAAGGGTAAGTTTAAGATTTCAGTCACGGAACTTCTTGCTTTGGTCCCTTACGATTACATTCATCTGAATGAAAATGAGATCAAGAATAAGTGGAAAGATGATATTTTGAATACACGTACCCTCGCACCCCGTGGGAGTGACCTCGGCGAAGGGGTTATCGCAGCGGTTACACTGGCGACCGATGACTCCTCCCTTACAGGGGCACTGCCCAGTGACGCCATCGCATGTTCGAGACTCTGAGCCGACGGAGAAACACTCGCAGGGGTAGCAAGTGTCCTCTCCTTCTGGGCGATAGTGGTTCTCCTGCAAAAAAGAAAGAAGACATTATCGACTAATGACATTTTGTGTGGTTTTTCTCCTTTCAAATGTTACGTTGTCTCGCCTGAGCAACCTCTGCTTGAGACTTACAAAAAGGAATATCAAGTGGGTAAACCCAGTAGAGGTAAAGTTATGTAGGATTTTACCTTGCAGCGACATTCTCCCGTGGTCTTGTTGCAGTCTTTGTGGAATCCCCTGTTAATATCACAGTTACAAGGTCCGCACATGGGGCTGCCCCACCAGCCTTGAGGACACGGCTTCTCAATTCTGTCATCCAAGAAAATGCATCTGATTATTTAGTGGCCTCGACAAAATATATTTGATACAACAATATATAACAATTTGACAAATTACACTGTGACTATGAGAAAATGAATAAACACATCAGTGATTACAAGCTCCAACACACAATATGAAATAAAATGCACACATGGAAAACTATCTGATTTGCAGTTTTGACATCAAACCTCCCTACTGTTTTTTCCTAGCAGTACTGCATTTACGTTTGTGTGTCTGTTCCCTAATGAAAGAACATTATGAGTATATAATATTTATATCATTAGATTGTGATGGGCAAAACCAAGAGGAAGACGTCTCAACGCTCAGTAGGAAATAAAAACAAACGTGTCATACAAACAACGGGTTTACCATCTACAGACAAGGTTGTTGAGGAAAAAAATGTCAAATTCTGACAGCAGACGATCTGTTGAGTTTATCTCCAACTCAATGCTCTTCGTCGCCCCTAAATCTAGAATACACTTCCTTTGGCACTTTGAAGTCAGTGATGCAGGTGTGACTCATTCATACGACACACACAAACTCTCCTTCTCTCTCAATGGGAGAGAGACGCAAACTCAGACCGAGCGATGCGATCTGATAGGGGACGAGCAGCAGTGTGAGGGCAGCGGTGACTAAACACCTATGGAGGATAAGTCAGGCGTGAAAGGGGAACCCCACATCCTGCTTAAGACGGGACGCCATGCATGTCATAAGGGTCGAGGGGGGGGGGGGGCGGCTGCTTCTCTATATTGGCTGGCTAATTCACACGCCCTCGGAGGCCACGGCTGACAGTGCAGAACCGACTCGCCACTTTCTGCAAATCGTAAACAAACTTCCCGAATGCCGCCTAATAGTTTGATTCTTTCTTTGTGATGTCTGATCTCTCCTCTCTTCCTCCCCCACACATGCAGGCACGCATACACTATCAAGCTCAGATTACCGACTCATGAAGCTGCTCTCAAAGACTCAGGACAAGAGCCTGGCATAACTAAAGGAGACTACTGTGCTTTGTCCCACTGGGAGACAAAAGTCCATTTTCTTTTTTTTGCCTGCTTCATTTTATAACATCTGGATACGAATTATGGCTTTCAGCATCCAAAGCTAACAACTCTAAAATGCAGTTGAAGTCTGAGGGATTTTTCAAAGATTTGAACATCTTAAAGGTAAAGCTTTTGATACACTGTGCTGCAGGTTCGATAAAGTGTAATGAAAGGTTTCTTTATATGTTAGAAGCTAAAAATCCAACCTCTAATGTGTCCATGTGTGAAGACAAGTCACACTGAGAGGGGGGGGCGGGAGCTTACTTGTTTTCACAGTACTGGCCGTAGTGGTTCTGTCCACACTCACAGGTGTAGCCGTGGGAGGAACTGGGTTTGCGAACGCAAGTGGAAACGTGCTCGCAAGGGTTCAGCTGGCAAGCGTCCACACACTCCTTCCCGAAATAACCTGCCGGACAAAGAGAACAGAGTGACTAATGACACGCAGATTGACGTGTGTGTGTGCGTTGTTTCTGCAAAGTCTTTTATTACCTGGGTCACAGACACAGGTGTGCGTGCTCCAGTCGTCGCTGCAGTGGCTGTTCTCAGGGCAGATGTTGGAGTCGCAGGGGTCAGCCAGGTCGCAGCCGTCTTCCACGCGGATCTTCAGGCCCTGAGCCATGTTCACGTTGGCCACGTTGGTGGACGTCTCACCCATACGCACTCCCTAGTGGAGCGCACACATGCATGATGAAGAAGAAGAGGAAAGGGGAAAAAATACAAAGAAGTGGTCCTGGAAAATAGGAACATTGCCTTTCTTACACTTACCTGAATGCATCCAACAAATCCGTTTCTGACTTGGTTTCCCTCTCCAGGCAAACCTCCCACATGAAGAGTCTGCAACTTCAATCCTGGGAGGTCGTTACCGAGCTCCACTGACTTCTGCTTGAAAAGAATAAATAATAACAACTCTTTTTTTTATCTTGCAGGGACCTGCAGTGCATGGTGGTACGGCTGTGATGCCATTTGCCTGTACCTGGTACATGCCGTAGTCCAGGGACACGTAAGCCACGTATTTGATGTCCTTGCCGTCTTTGGCGCTCCTCAGCTCTACCAGCAAGTGGTGCCACTCCCCGTCATTGACGCGAACTTGTGGGAAGCTCAGCGACGCCACCAGCTCCTGCCTTAGAAATACCTCCATACGAATCTGCCGCTCGCTCACCTAAATGAGGGGAGGGGCGGGCAGAGGAAGAGAGGGGGGGCAGTTATTTTCATTTCCATTGAGAGTGTTCTCGGTTCTTGGCCGCAGAGGAATGAAGTTAGAGAAAGTGTCGCTCGGCGTGTATTTTTCGTAGCGTATGATTGGTTGACGTTGGCGCGTGCGTTGTATCTCACCATGAGGTTGATGGTGGAGTGAGCTCCGGCATTGGCCTGCATCAGGGTGCCGGCGGGCTGCCTGGTGCGGAACATGAGGCCCATGTACCAGGGAACGGCGACAGTGACGTCCGTCTCGCTCCAGGAGACCAACGCCTGGCCGTCGAAGAACTGAGGAGATGGCATCACTGGACGCGCCGGATGCGTGAGGGGAGGACCATCATTAATGTTTTTAAGGATAGATCTTTACCACATTCATATTGACGCATTGGCGAAGTGGAACCACTGCCTTTGTAAGGTCAGGCGAGAACAAAATAAGGTCACTGTGTTGCAGTAACTACACCAGTCTTCAGTATATTCAGTATTCAGGCACATTTTAGTTTTACTGTAATTATACTTACAAATGTGTTTGAATAGAAACAATATGGCTTAAACATGATATAAACTCAAATGCATTGAGTGACTTCAGAATTAACAGTTGGCTTTCTGTACTGAATTGTGATATTTAGCTGGTTATGATCAATATGTTTTTCAATTTAATGTGATTTAAATACAACTCATTCTTAGACAGACATTCAATCTCTCATCACCCTACAGTTCATAAGCTCCCGTCGGTGCCAAAGGGAGATCAAGAAACACTAACGCAAAGACACTTAACACACGCTCAGCAAGTGTCCACCTTTCAGCACCACAGTGACGCGATTCCTCGCAGATAATCTACACAGCATAAACCCCGTGGGCTCTCAGTTCGCTGGGGCACATATTTCAACAGAAGCTTTCAAAAATACACAAGTTACAATTATCAGACAAATTGTGACTCAGTGACTCAGTGTACGTTTGTGGTAGCCGGCAGCTAAAGTGGATTTGTTTCGACTACTTTACCAAAGATAATGTCATGAGTACAGACACTCTTAAGACACTTTAAGGTAAATGTGAGCAGGCTAACATGCCCACAGTGAACAACACAAACGTTCTGCTGTTTAGAGGGTTACGCTCTCCATCGGGTTCAGCCTGATAGCGTGCTATAGTTCAATAATATTTATTCTGCTAAATCTCATCTTTTCTAACAGTAGTATTAAGAGATTAATCAAAAGAATCTGGTATGCAGTGCTAATCTGAGCCCTTTAATTGTGTTGGATCAGAGGGAGGTTCACACGATTTGCGGTTGGGGGAGGAGTCACAGCAGCGCCTAAACCAGGTCGGAAGACTTTAGCTCATCCAGACATCCAGAAGTCTGCAGTCCACTCCAACCGAGGCAGCTTTCCTCAAAAATATGAACGTTAATAACCGGGTTTGTTGACGATAAAGAAATCCTGTAGAAGCAAAAATTTTACAATATACAACACGTATACACTGTATATGTACGTATATCCATCCTGGCTGTGATCTGCTTTATGTTAGCGTGAGTCATTCCGTGTCTTTCAAAAATCTCTGTCCCTTTGAAATCGAATCTGATCTGGAATTCAGTCTTTTCATGTCCGTCCAGTCCGGGTGATTTTAGCAGCATAACATCCGCAACAACAAATCTCGTATTACTTGTGTGGTCGCTAGGTGTGGGAACCCTCCAACTAAATGTGTCAACAAGCAGCAGAGCAGCCAAAACCTTTATCCCAGCTCGCTGTGATCCCGGCCCAGTTCAGATAGTGGATACTGGGGCCTGGCGCTGGCTACCACATAGAAGATGAGAGGAACTCACACCGTCACATATTGTTCAGAAGGAGCAAGTCAAAGTTCTCTCGTTACAGTAGAAGAACACGAGATGGTGTCATGGAGTGTAAATAAAAACACTGAAGGAAAGATGTGGGGCTTTTACGTTTTACACGCAAACACTGACAAATGTTTAATCTCTCAGTGTCTATCCAGCTAGAAGTGCTGCATATACTTCAGTACCGCAGTAACATGAGGTGGTAACGGAGACCCACGGGGGACAGCCTGTGGATCAGTGTGCGTCTTTGTTGTGTTTCAATTCTTTGTCCGGGTTTTCAAGAGTGAATCAGAGTTTGTCCTTAAACTCCAAACCTGAGGCCATGTTTGGTGTCAGCAGAGGCTCCACTGTGTGTCTCCTTTGCTGCATGAGTCACACTGAGTCAGGGGAGGCGCTCCTTATCCCATTTGATCTCCCAAGCACAAACCATTTCCTGGAAGTCCTCGCGACACACACACACACGCACACACACTGTGCAGGTAAACACAGAACCTCAAAAGGAGGAGCATGTAAGATGCAGGCACATTTGACTAAAGATGCTCCTCCTTTGAGGTTCTGTGTTTACCTGCAAAGGCGTAATTCCAAATACTATGGAATTTGACTCATTCGTTCATTTTCTTACCTTGTTCACAATTCTTGCCTCCGTAGCCGGTTGGGCATTCGCAGCTGTAGGTGTCCCACTTGCTGACGCACACTCCGCCATTCTGACACAGGTCGCTAATGCAAAAGTTTTTCTTCGCCGGACAACCTGGACATCAAATTACATAATAATCAACATCTGCGTGCGCAATGTGCGCGTCCGTTTATGGGCTGCCTCGAGTAGCGGTATAGTAAAAGGAGACAGAGCAAAGCATTAAGGAGTTCTCCTCTGGTATATGCTTCTTCTTTGCGATGACATGCAGCCTCTCCAACCTGCTTCGGTGCCGTTGTTAGCGATGTAGCTGGCCATGTCGATGGGTCTGCTGTCGATGCTGAGGTTTCTCATGCAGCCCACGAAATCCCTGTTCCAGACCGGGAAGTCCTCAGGGAGGGTGGGAACACCGCCGAGCAGCAGCGGCCCGGTCAGGTCCAGAGACCTGAAGATGACACAAATAGAAAAGAGTTCATTCAAATGTAAAGAAATATATATAGATATTTTTTGGAACTACTACTTTTAATATAAAAACCTGGTTCAATGTGAATTAATATAAATATGATGCAGTTTTAAAGCTATAAACTCTGTATTGCCTCAAAATAACCAACAACAACATGAAAATCTTCATGAAGAACTAACTACCATGATAAATTGTGGGTGTAAGAAGAGAATGCAAACTTAACTCGCTTTCCAAGTATGACAGAGAAATATATTCTGGGCTCATTATTGCAGAATGTACAGTTTACAGATTATTCTATAAAGCAAGAGTAATGTAACAGTACAGTTCAAGACAGAGCAATTACGTGTATTAGGATTTCTGTACGGACCAAAGGTTCTTGCACAGAAGATAATCCGGTCTTAAAAGCTGTGTGATTCTTTCTGTTTCAGCGACATTTCTCAGGTTCACCCTCCCTTTAAAGTTCTAAGTGCAACTGTGTGTCTCAATCACACTCTGGACCAAGTCAATTGTCCACAGCGATTCTCCAGGCTTGTTTTTGCATTGCATTACACACCAGTGTAACGTATATCTGTTTATTGCAGCCCTACGCTGTCCCAACGCCTCTCAGCTTCTGTGACCTGTGCAACAAGTTCCTGTAGGAATGTAACCTCATTAACTCCTCTTTGAAGCTCTCTGTCCCCACCCTCTGCAAACTAAATGTGTCTCAGCATGCTAGCTCTCCATTAGACTCATTAAAAAAAAAGGTCTCACGCCATAATCGTACAAATTCATTCATCACTCTGCAGGAATCACGCATTAAGTCAGATTAAGCCTCTGTTGACGTGAGTTTTGGACAATCTAAGGCTGTGTCTGAAATTACAGCGGCCATGAGGATGAACACTCAGATTAAACGACAAAAGGTGGAGAGATTTGTAGAATGAGACTTGAATAACCTTGTAATGAAGGCACTTAAGGCCCGAAGGCCCTAAGGTACAACTTACCTACCTATTAGTCTAACTAGTTTGACTGTGATTGCATGGATTGGTAATGAGTGACAGGACCCCAAGAGAGAAAGATGAGGGGAAAGAGAACGAAAGACTCCCGCTTACTTCTTCTGTCCGGTTTGGGTGCCTTGGGCGGCACAGGAGTAGTTTCCGATCTGCTTCCCGAAGCGAATTGCCATGGAGATGTCACAGTCGTCTACGGCAACCACAGCTACCTTTTCTCCAGAGGGTCCATGGGGAATGCCTAGACGCCCAATGTTTGGCTGAAAAGTAAAGCAAAATACAGATTAGTCAACAACCTTTGCGTTTTGGGATATATAGGGCTTTTCTACATCAATAATTCAAGTTTTTACTACAAGGGGAAACTTCAGTAATTGGGTTTAAGAAAACGTAAATTTTAATGGGCAAAACAATTCGGGAACAAGTGCATGGAAAATAACAGACAAGCTTGTAAGCAGAGAAACAAAGAAAAATACTGAAGTACTGGATGAATTGTAAAAAGAAAAACAATAACTGAGTTTAAGACAAATTAAATAGTCAGCTAAAGCTAAATTATTGTTAGCCGATTATATAATTTGTTCATTTATTTGATCAAAAATAGTAATAATATCTAAAAGCTAAAATTAATGAATAAATAGTGGAAATTGTTAATAGCTAATTGGTTAAACAACTAAAAATAATAAATACATCTTGTTCAAACCTAAAGAAAACCACTTAAATACTGTCGTAGTAAGTCGTAGTATGAGGATATTTATTAATATGCTGTTCACAAACAGTAAGAATGAACACATGTATAACATGACAGGCACTGTCATAAAGGAATAAGATATTTTAGTTCAAGTATGTCTGAAGAGATGCTGGTAGCACTGCTCCACGCCAGATGCTATTTAGACAGGGTATTGTCATGGTAAATCTCAGCTGACTGAATTTATTTAAAACCGTTAATGCTTGATTTAAATCTTATTTTCTTTTTATTCCAACAGAAGAAACGTGGCTTTGGTGCTCAATCAGTGAAGGTTAGAGAAACACAAACCCAGTGTGTCCGACTTTAGCTGACTTGGAGCAGGAGCATGCATAGCCTCTCATGGCTTAAGCTGACAAAAAGCCCATTGTGTGCATTAGCTTGCACCTAATTATTACAAAGTAGCCTAATTCCTCCATCAAGGCCTGTGGCCGACAAATGTGGATCTGAGAAAATGTGGATCAGCTTAGAAAATCTGGCCACCAAATCGCTTTAATTTTTGCAATATCTAACCTGGAGACCGAAGTTCAATGGAGCGGTTCACTTCACAATAGTGGCCTTGGAACAGGAAGCAGACGGAATTTGAGGATGGCAGGAGAGACATTAAAAGCACTGCAGTGGTGCATCAACGACATGACGCAGCTGACAATACGGGGCGGAGTTTGAATTGATTCATTTTGATGATTTTGAATTTCAGAGTAATGAAAATAAAGAAAAAAGAAAAAAGAAACGGACGCTATGACGAAAAGAAGAAAGAGATCACGCATGACGGGACACTGTGCGCATGTGTCTGTGTGCTTCATAAATAGGATTACAGTAATGAGATACTGGTGGGGCAGAGACGTTGCGAACAAAGGAAGAGGGGAAAAAGAGAAAAGAGAAAGAGCAGCAGACAAGATAGGGAAGTGGACTGACCAGAAATAGGAGACTGGCAGACGTGTACAACAATGAGCAACACAGCAACACAGTGTCTTCTATTTTAGCTCAGGTGGGTTCCGTCCTGGGCATATTTTCCAGCCTGCAGGAAGTTTACCGCTGCCACTCCCTTCAATATGCTCCGTTTCCACTGATTCCATCAAAAAACACCCTTCAAACGTTTCATGAAGACAAACAGGAAGGCCAACTGATCAGTACTACACCTCTGACGCCATTGCAGTTTTCTTTGTTCTACACTTTTGATGTCATTAGAAAAATAATTGCAGACCACTTTGGTAACTGATTGGTTCTTGTTTAATATAAAAACAACCAAAAATGCTAGATTCAGCCTAAGAATATGACTATATCCTGCATTCCTCTGTATCATGTTAAACTAAAAACTAAAAGCCGGGGGATCTGGAATGCCAAAAGAAGACACTTAAAGTGATCAACTTGGACTTTTAGGAGCCAGAACGGATGTTTTTTTCTCATTTGACATTTTCATTAAAAAAAAGTTTTAACAATTTGTTGGATTTTGTTATTCACAAAACACAAAAGTAAACTAGTAGATCATTGAAGGTTAATTAGGACTACAACTAATGATAATTTCAAACGTATTATCTATACACTTTTACACTTAATATTATATATTAAAACAGCTTCAACGTCCCACCTATTTGGTGCCTCTCTAAACTTTCAGACTGGCGTGTGTCGGTGTGCGTCATCGTCATCTTGTATCTGCAGCATGCATTGCAATCACGATAGTGGGGGAAACCACACCTCGTCGCTGGCACATGGCCAACCGGCCCTCAGCACTGTATCTGCAGGTGTTACCCCCCCGATATCCACCTTCACCGCCCAACACCTCCATCAAAACTAAATCCGCAGTTGCAGCCCACCGGGATGAAGAAGGAAACTCTTTCTTGTGTCTGTTGGTTGAAGCAGCATCATTTAAATCAAAAAGGACGGACCGGCCAATATGAAAACTGATCATGATTTATTGCGTCGTCACGTTGTGTTGGATTACAACCAAACGATGCACTTTGGGGAATCTGCTTCAAAGCTGCATAACAGGTGGCAGTGTAAGAAAATGAGTCAGAAATGTGGCCAAATGTCTATAAAATGTCCCTGCAGCCTGAAGCTGTAAGGAATGTTGGCGGCCTGCAGCCAGAAGCAGGAAAACGGTGATGATTCTGACGCAAATAACCAGTGGTGCAAAACTGCAATGAAGGAAATAAGAATAAAAGAGCCGACAAATGTTGATCAAATGACGACTCATTTCAAACCAGCGAGGAAAAGGAAACAAGAGGAAAAACTACATGGAACCTTTTTCAAGGGCAACAAAAGGTAATTTGTCTGACAGAGGAAATCCCTCACTCAGTGACTCTTCTAACAGAGGAATCTGTTGCCATGCTGATTGCAATCTTATCATCTCCTTTGAGTTCTGTCGAGCGAGGAGGGGATGAGATAAAGACAGGAAGCACCGCACCGGGAAAAGAGAGCAAGAGATACTCAGATACCGCACATAATGGACCCACAACCCGACCGTCTCAGGGGTAGCAGCTGTCCCAACTCTTAGGCCGACGTGTATGTGCACACTGCGTGTATTTAGGTGTGTAATATGTAGGGGATAAAGGAGGGCAGCTGTCACATGTGTGTTATGTGCCTGGATCAACATAATTGATCCAGGCTCATACATACACTTCCCACACTGCACAACCTTTACACACAACATGAAATCTCTGGAGTGTCTGCTAGCCAGGGTCTGTCCCCTGGCTCTAAAGTGCAGTCCGGCCTCACGTTGAGGGGCCCCATGAGTCTCTCATTTACCCACCGCCCATCTCCGCGCTGTTGGTGTCGTCTCCAGGGGAAATAGTGTTTGTCAGCGCCATTGCGCCATGGCAACACATATGATGCAGCTAGCAGCAAAGGCGAGGAGGACAGTGGACGCGAGCTGACGGAGCACCAGGAACACGGCAAAAAGCGAACACACTTTCGCTCGACAGGACCACCCACCTCATAGACGAGGGACATGGATCCACACACACACACACTAACACCTCTTTAGCCATGGGGCTGCCTGTCAAAGCCGCCACGACAACTCAACGGGGCCCACGGCCCTGATAAAGAGCCTTGTTGCACGGATTGAGTTACATGCAGAACACAGTTCAGCTTAGTCACAAAACCCCCTTAAGGTCTGTCAAAAAGAGCAACTGATGTCCAGTGTGTGTGTGTGTGTGTGTGTGTGTGTGTGTGTGTGTGTGTGTGTGTGTGTGTGTGTGTGTGTGTGTGTGTGTGTGCGCGCGCGCGCATAGAGGGGGGAAGAGAGGGAATACTCTGTGGTGATTGTGTGTTTGGGCACCATGGGAAGGATGTCTGCAGCATGTGAGTGTTGAGTGAGCAACAGGCACACTTGTTTGTGTGTTAGTGTGGGTGTGTGTGTGTGCACGTGTGTGTGCCGGCGCATGCGAGAGGCGGGAAGTAACCAGCCGAGCTGCAGCCGGCCTTCCAGTCAATTCTGCTAATAAAGGAAGGAGGGCGCACAGGGTTTTATTTTATTTGGGCTCGCCTGAGGAAATGCCATTGTTTCTCCGAGTCTGAAAATGACACTCGGACGGATATTTGAAAATGCGTCTCCCGATGCTCAAAGGCATGCGTTTGTGTGTGTATATTTGCATGCTGTGTGTCTCTTCTAAGTAACTACAAATAAAGACTAAACATAATTCTATTATCATAAAATATCCATAAGCTGGAGCCACATTGACCCAACGTCAGTGTCTTTCTCAGAACTTTTCTTTTTGTGTGTGTGTGTCATACACAGGCTAGTGTGTCCCACCGTCCCTCTGGCAGTAACACACTCATGTCATGTCCACATTAGCTCACCTGCCCTCTGGCTATGTAAACCTAGAAGTGTGAATTATTCAAACACACACACACAAAAGTTCACAGAGAATTTCCATCAGACTACGACGTCCCGTGTTCAAGCCTATATGTTACTGTTGTCTTCATCGTCTCATCACACACACATCTAGCGGTGTAACAGATGGGCAGCGCCCATTGTTGGCTCTTAGCTTTCAAGCAGCAAAACAAATGTGCAGACGACACACACACTGAGGTAATGGTAACTGTATCCTGTTTGGAGCGCCTGGAAAAAAAAATCCTGTTACGGCGCAACAAACATGGCTTGTGCTTTGACATCAATGGGATTATCTTCGGATTGAATGCTTTTCAACGGCCTCTTACAGCATATTTCACAGGCCGGTTTTGTCTCTTTGACTGATTGTGCGTGATTAATCTTTAAGAAGAAAAACCCCTTCCTTCTTTTAAATAAAGTACCTTGGAAGAGTTTAGTCTTGGCGATTTGAGGAGAAGTCCGTTTTGTTTCACTTTTCTATTTGAAATCACGATATTCCTGGTAATCAAACAGGAATGTACTGACAATAAAAAAAAAAAATGTGTCCATTCATCCTGTTTATCAAGTCATTTCTTACTTGCTCCAAAAGTGAAATGAAAAGATCCCATGAAAAAAAAATACTAGATGAAAAACATGCACCTAAATCTGACTTCTAAGGCAACAGCTTATTGTCTCAAGATTGTCAAAGCAGCATTGTCGAGAGCGCAACATAATGCAATTAAGGATCGGCAGGAGTAATGCTGATGCTCAGCACTAAAAGCAGTGGCAGATAAAACTGAGCGTGATAGGGATCATAAAACAGATAAGGGATCCGCATTAGTGGAAAGAGATAAGATAAGGAGACAGAAGTATAGAGAGGTTTTCCCTCTCCTTCATTGTTATATCTCTGCGCCCCCCTCCCCTCCAAAGCCCACTGGCTGTCCGTCTGTCTTAACTTTAATAAGAGGCGAGTATGAAGGCAATCTGCGGCGACAGATTTATCACAATACTTTGAACATCTGCTGCTCCTATCGACTGGAAACTCCTTCATCCTGCACGCAAAGGTTCCTCCGATGTGGGCGTTTTATGATTGAGTCGTAACATCTGCATAGACGCCCCCCCCCCCGGCTTTATAGACTATATGGATTCTATCAGCTCTTTCTCCTGCTTCAGAAACTAAGCTCGGCTCTACATTTGTTGTGGAGGCGCATTTCATTCCTACATTGCCTCAATTGAAGTGGTTTCATTGCTTGATGCAACTATCAAAACAATTAATGATTTTGTGATAAGAATAGATAAGAATATTTTTACCGATACTGTTTATGTAGGAGGAAAAAGAGTGAGTGGACAGAAGGAAGTTCATTTTTCCAAAAAATATGAACACACACACACACCCTCAAACACACACGCACCCAAACGAATGATAAAAGAAGGCACCCAAACGGCAACAGGTGCGTAAGCCTAAAAATAGGTGTAACTAATTATATACTTAAAGCCATTTCTCACTATCATTTATCCAATTAATACCAACAACAAAGGGCGATTATTAGCGCAACAGAAGAGAAGATTAAGAATAAGACCTAAACTTTAATCCCTTACTGAACGTCAGCCGCGTGGCCCTGGAGATACTTGCCGTCCGCGCACATTACGAGAGCCATCTCGGACGATTTCTGAGCGTTGTTAATCCTCCCTGACAGAATGGGTACTTCAGGGCTGCCAAGGAAAACACGATGCTCACTGGGTGTCTACCAACCTGTCGGTCGTCCTGCCAAGGCTCTGACATGTTTAGCTCACCTGAAAAAACCTCAATGGGGGAAGCCAAGAAAGGTTGTCGCTGTGTTATTTATCCTTGTTAAAACCCACGTCTGGTTTGGATAGGAGGAGCTTCTCCAGTAGACGGGAAAAGGCGGAGAAACCAGAAAGCTCAGATATAAAGAACTTTTTGTCCCACTACCTGCTTTGCAAAGCGAGACCCTGACCCCTGACTTCTGTTAACCATGTTATTTTAAAAGAACTGCAGTGTGAGAGCGACGACACGCGACACCAGGCTCAAGCAGAAAAGGAATGTTTTGTATGTCGTTGTTATTATGAAGCCATTTTTGGATAAATGGGTCCCTGTTTTGTTTAGTTGTTTAACAAACCGGTGAAATACAGGAAGGACAGTAGAAAGCCACCCAACATTGGAACTGCCAACTGCACACACCTTCTCGGGCTAAAGTGAAATGGAAAACCAAAGCCGCATCCACTACCACGTCTTCTTTAGTCCAGACCACAGACGGACTAAATTAAAAAACATTAAGTGTGAGGGGCTGTTCCTCTGTGTATCTGAGTTTGAGGCGTGTAAAGTAGAGTTAGACCGTACTAGAAGAAGAGCAGGGACTACGTGAGACCCGGGGGAAGGGGCGGGAGGAGGGAGGGGAGCACCAGTGGGGACTAGGCTAGAGGTCAGAGGTTACCTCCTTCTGATCGAGCTCCAGCCAGGCGGTATAGAGCGGGAACCGCAGAGCCCCACTGGAGTCCACCAGACTCCCCCCTTCCTGGGAGAGAGACACCGTGAGAGAGAGACACCTCGTTAGACCCACCGCTTTCAACCAAGTCCCGTCACCTCATGTGTGTTCCATGATAACCCTTTCAGGAACCCTCCTTGCTTGGGGAAGGACCTAATTGATGAATATGCTAATAAGATTATTATGCAATTTTTGCTCAGTGATGCCAAACATAAACCGCTCTCCCCCAGTTATAACACCCATCGATATACAGCACAGCAGAATAACTATGAAGATATCGCTGTGTGCATGTACTTTAAGTGTGTGCACAGACGTCTGCCTGCTTAGGGGGATTCGCAAAACAGCCAATTCGCCAACAATAACGGCATCCAAAGTCCAACATGATGACTCCTTCCCGCCCACTTAAAACAAAACCTTTCTCACCACCTCAAACAATAGGTCATAACTCATCGGACAGAGATGTCTCTGGCAGATTTAGATCATGCGGAGATACGCAATGCCATGAATTTACAAGAGGAAAGAACACAGGGAACAAGCCCGTGAAAGCCTAAAACTAGCTCCCACGTGCTCCCTGCTTCAATACTAGATAAATAGAACAATGACAATAAGTGATAGAGGTACTTTACAATATGTATTCTTTACTTAGTTTAAATAGTAACAGCTACATTGTAATGCCTTCAAATTGATAAAAAATAACTTTTCTTGGCACTTAAATGTAAAATGTGTGTAATGTGTGATGATAACCTTTACTGGAGGTTTGGGGAAACCTGCCTCAAGGAGAGCAAAGAACAGCACGGCTCCTTCCTTCTGAAAACACACCCTGCCGGGGAATGTGGGGTCTGGGGCTTCACCTCAAAAAGAACTACTTACTTAACCTTATAAAAGCAAAAACATGCACCCGTGTCTGTTCAGAAACAATCACCGTCTGCACATCCCTATGCACAGCTTCCGAAGTGGCTGAGAGTGTGTGTGTGTGTGTGTGTGTCGCCATGACACAGTCACACACCTAATAAGTCATGCGTCTTTACGGGCACCCAACAAAGCCACATGGGGCCTCGACTATTAGCAATTAAACTGCAACACAAGGACAAGAATGGCAACTCTAAGGCCCCTCCAAAGAGCACTTATCCACTATGTGCAGGTGTGATGTGATGTGTGTGTGTGTGTGTGTTCGTGTGTGTTTGACTGCATATCCTCTTGTCCTGGAGACCTAATAAACTCTGGAACATCAACACCAAGACAGAGAGGGAATATAGACAGTTCTCCTTGATGACGGCTGTTGATAAAAAACGGAAATGTGTCGATTTGGAATACGTAACACATGATAATGTCTTGGATAATTGGGGCCTAGACGTCATCCAACTGGTCCAGTTGGGCTTAGTCGTTATGCGTTACATGAATCTCAAACGACATCAAACATCCCCACCTTTCACCGACCGCTGCTCCACCCATGTAAGACGGTAGTAGGTACTATTACAAAAGGTCACATGTATATGAACTTGAGTATGTAATGTAAAGATAGTAAACATGGAACTCAAACCATGAAAGTGATTCTTTTGGTCACAACCATAAATATAAAAAAATATAGTTTAGTGCTGACCCAGTAATCTGCAGTGGATTCAATAGACCTTTTTTGTTGGAAATTATACAAATAAGAGTGGTGAATGTGGACCTAAAAAGACCATGTGCAGGCCTAGTTGCTTTATCAACTATAAAATGATTCTGGAAATATTTCAGCGAGACTTTTCTTTATCTTACAGTTTACTACGAATATCTTTAAAAGCACTTCAAGTTGTGCTGTGAAGTAATCTGCATGTATGTTGTTCCTTAAAGTCCTGCCCTGTAAACGCCACCGGAGTGAGAGTCAGGGAGGAGCAGCAGAAGCAGAAAGAGTGAACATTCGGTACTCGCCTGTGATAAGAGCCAGCTAAGCCTGTCTGGGAATGCTGTCTACACACCCTGAACATCATAGCCTATATTAGCCAGTGTAACACTATTAACCTGTTGAACATCGAGCCCGTGTGCAGCGAGCGGCAACATTAGGAAAATGCCGGGAACACTCGGTCCCATCATGTCTGCAGTCACGCTTTGCTTGTCTGACTTTGGCAGCATTTCGATGGATCACATGGAACTTAATTATGGTTTATTCATAGCTGTGGTTTACACTAAAGGGTTGTCTTTTTTTCTTTATTCTTTCTTTAAAAAGACGGTGAAACATGAACCAAGGAATGAGTAATAGTCCTGCGAGTTTCTTCTTGTTTACACACTTCCCATATGAAACCAATGATATCCACCAAACTCTGCCTGGAGCGGCAGGCTTATGGCAATGGATCATTTGGGTCGCAGATACAAAGTCACATTTCTAGTCGCCAAAGGAAACCTCGTGTTCGAGTGTGGTTCACCGTGTATCTACATGTGGAAGCTTTGTTTAAAGTTTTGACTCAAAGTTCATTTACTCTAGTTCGGAGCTTTGAACTGAACTTCACACTATTTGAGCATGGATCTTGAGTAATATTTCACTGCCAGCAAATGATTTCCCTGTTAAATAAATACATCAACCTTTGTACTCACATATAATATCTATTTCAAGTAAAATATTGTGCTGTGGTTATGGTAAAGTTCAATGTAAATATAATAAATCTAACATACTTGTCTATGCCGCATCTTTATTCACGCAGGTGGCTTGGCAGATACAACCACCATATAAGTGACATCCTGCCCAGTGTCTAACTAAATTAGGTCCTTTCCTGCAACAAGAGACATCATTTCCTGTAGTTAACAGACATCAAAACCCAAGACTAAATCCCCTGCTGCTCCACCAATATCCATCCATTCATCTGTGTGTTTCTCATTTAGATGTGTCTCTTGGACTGTCCTTGTGACTCTGCACCAAGGAATTTAAAAAATGTCTTTATCCTTCGACTTCTATTGTGTAACATCCCTAATAGCGGTACCGGCACATGCACGCTTTCACAAACACACACCCACAAACTCAGAGTAGCTCTCCATTTGTCTGCACCCCCCTGCCTCGCCCCCCTCCAGAGACAAACACACGCACAGACAGATTTTCCAACCGACCCAGATCCCTGCAACAATGGCAAGTCCATGTCTGTTGTCATGCCAACCCTCCCCCGACCTTTGAACTCTGTTTTTTAGTAGAGGCACCCTGGTTCTTCTGAACAGAGCTGCAGCAGATTTTTTTTTTCAAAAGAAAATAGGAGGCACCCCTAAAACCATCATCATCTGACCCAGTAAAGCACCGTCTGTTGGTGCATGCGTGAGTGTGCCGTTAGGACCGTTAAAAGACAACTTGGGAACTCATGCGGACAAACAACGCTGGAGTGGGCCGCACCAGCAATTTGTGAAAGTATAGTATTACTTGGTCTATGAGCTGGTTTCAAACTAGCAATCCGGGTTTCACTGTTAAAAAAAAGCCCTAGCGAATAAAAAACACTTACTCTGCAATTGTTTGTAGCTCCGTTTTTAATCAAAAGCAACCATATAAAAGAAAGTCACAAGCATCACAGGTTGAATATAAAAAATTGCCAGATAAACAGTTTAAAGGAGAGTATTACTTTGTTGTATTTAGTTATGCATACATGAAAATATAAAGGGTAGTACATTTCATACATGTGCTACCTAACCAACACTAGTTGTAATGGGTTTGTTTATATGAAATGTAGGTTAGAATTCACACCTGACGCATGTTTATTTGTGTAACAACTTGTTGAGGTGAAACTTTTCTTAATTCAGATATGCATAAATCTCCAATTAGCAGAACACTGTCATTAAAATTATTCAAAGTCTGGGATGGAAATTGGATTTGTGTACGGATGTCCGTTCAATAGTGGACTGCCCGGCAAACGGGTAAAATTCTTAATGAATTTTAATGAATCGAATGAAATATTTCAGAATTCATGACTGTCGAAGATGAAAATGCAGGAGCCCAAATGGACAATGTGCTGTCGAAAACCTTGAAGATTGAAAAATTAATTTTACCGTACAAAAGCGGTCGCATTGATTGAGTTTACTTAAGAGGAAAGAGTCTGCTGAGTGGCAGAATCAATCGTTCATTTAGTAGGCAGTACAGTACAGTAGCTACAGTAGTAGTACAGTTTAGCTTGGGCTTAAATCAGTGGAATAATGTTTGGTCGTTAGTATATTGTGTTGTATTTTTTTTAAATCCAATTGAACTTGTAGTAGTTTTTACTGAACCACATTTTTATCAAATGATCCTACAAACAAAACAGGCCATAACGTTGATATGTTGTTGCTTTGTGATTCAGAACTAGGCTACCTACGAGAGAAACTGGCCACTAATCTCTAAACTACAAAGCCCATTAATCTCCTGTAGCTGCCTTGACCGACTTTCTCCATTCATGTTGGCTAAAGCCCCTGAAGAGCTCCCAGAAAGATAACAAATGGACGGAGACATTATTTATGTGTCTTTTTGCATGACATCTGGATTACATCATAGTTTGAGAATGGAACTGTGATCTTCTTTCTTCACTTTATCTGTGCTATGCGAACAATGCTACCTATACACAAATGTATGTGTGTGTGTGTGTGTGTGTGTGTGTGTGTGTGTGTGTGTGTGTGTGTGTGTGTGTGTGTGTGTGTGTGCGTGCTGTTGCTCTTGCGTGCGCGACGGACATGTGCGTGTGTGTGCGACATCATCCCCTTTATCAGTGCATAGGCATGTCCTCACATCTGATCTATTGGGAGAACAGTACTGGTTTCTGCCATATTCATTTCCACTGAGCCCCCCAGCCACTAATGTGGGATCAAATGACCTTCTGTCACTCCGACTTCTGATCATTCAATGCATGAAGGAGAGCGGACCTTGTGTCAGCGCTACACTCGGCCTCGGGATAATTTAACGGAATGTGTCACCAGCGTTGCAGATTACTGGTCCGTATCACGACAGCCATTGGTTCTTTGCACGCTATGTTACATCCCGAGGATACACACTCATACGATTGGTGCAACAAATGTGTGTGTGTCTGATTGTAAATGCCGGTGACAAAAGTGAAGCGGAAGCCTGTGGGATCAGCTCCGCCAAATAAATCAGAAAAGTAAACTCGCTCGGAACAAAGCAAGAAATCTGTTCGAACTTGGACAGTAATCTCTCGTTGCCATAGAGACATCTCTACAAATACCAGACAGCTGAAAGGACAAAAAGAACAAAGACGTCTTCAGGGGCAAAATCGGCACATAATACCTGTGGTAGTTGGGGGGGCTTGCAGCAACGTTAACAGAGCCCGGCGACGTCTAAGCTGTGCTCTTCATCATCATCATCATCATCATCACGGCTGTGCTGTTAAGCAGACATACTTACAGCCTAAATACGCCTCAAACAATAGTTACACACGTGAGCCCCCCGGCAAAACATGATAGAGTACGGTAGCCCAATTCATCACTTTTGATGTAAACACCCCTGTCAGGGCTAACAAGTATCCTGTGAGCTCTATAGCTGGTCACCAGAAAGAGGTGAACAACCTCTGAAATGTGAGAAGGAGTGCATTGTGGGCCGCCGTCAGGCCAAGAAGCACGGAGCAAAACACAGGTGCTGGTGAAATACGACGCTGGACGTTTTGGGTCGGACCGGGGATGCTCCAACTTTTGGGGGGGGGGGGGGTCGGATACAAGAAGGAAGAGCCAGAGGGCGATGAGGAGGGAGTGACTACAAGGGGTCGATGTCTTTTGTCAGCAAATAGCAACGAACAGCATCGATTAGACTCACTGAGGGAAGAAGCGCTGTTACAACTTGGAGCGGGTCAAATTGATCTCTCTCAGCTTCCGTTCACACCATCACACATTGCGCGGATAGAAATGATTCAATCGACATGTATCTTATTTCCCGTGTAGTTAAATGGTATAAAAAAGCAATACCCTCAGGCAAGTTTGTTGGTAAAATAATAGCAGCACTTGACTGCAATGCCAGCCTTTCTAATACAATATTACAACGGAAGTGGACACATGAGACCGGTTATGGAATAATCGCTGTCTCTCGTCTGGGACGGGACTCATCACAGAGGCAACGCGAATATCGTGGGAATGTCTTGAAGAAAGAAAAACCTTTTGTTAGCGATTCAATTGATATATAAAGAGAGACATGATGAAGGAATCCCTCCTTATGTAGACCATCTTCCCTCGACTCAGAATGTACTTGAGCTCGAAAATACCGAAGATTGACTTTTGACCCTGTGAGGCGCAGCCAGGCCCCTGCTCGTCTTTCACAGGAGCGGTACCATAACTCAACGCCGAAGGCTCAGGCAGAGCGCTGAGCCCGCGCCGGAGATAAGGTCATCGGTCGAACCTGCACCGTCGGCCTTGGCAGCCTCAAAGAAAGCCACATTTCATGCCCCCCCCCCCCCAAATGCAACACAATTCTGGATAACTGTGATCTTTTTACATTGCAAGCTCTCTAAAGCAAAGTCCCAAGGGTCGGCATCTCATGCTTCAGCCCTTATCTCGTGTTTGTCAAGTGCGATTTTCACTGGAGGACGAGGAGGAGGAGCAGCGGTCGATCGGGTGATTAAGTTCCTTACCTTGTTGTAGTAATGGAGCTGGACCGAGTGCCACTGGCCGTCACTGACCCCGCCCGGGATGTAGGGAGACACTGTGGTCTTTGTCTCACCTGGATTGGAGGAGGTAAGAAGGCAGTTCAAACCAGTGCCAGTGGGATGAAGGGAGAGGAGTTAAGAGAGGGAGTAGGGAGGAAGGATAGGATGGAAAATAAAATAGTCCCGGAGCAAAAGGAAAAGGGAGAAGAAAGACAGGTATTTAGAAAAGGCTATTTATGAATATAATGGGATTTAAGCTGCCGCTAAATACTCATAACTTTCAACTTAATCCACAGGTTATTAATAAATTACCCTCAGAGGCAGACTTGACATCGACACACGCACCATGATCATAAATCAACTGGGAATTCTGTCTTATCAATGGCGCTCAGTGGGAAGATTGCACAGCACAATGGCAGCAGATTTACCAAGTATTTGCCGTGTGTGTTAAGGGCAGAAGCAGTCTGGGCAGGTATCCACAGCTCTGGAAATCAGTAAACAGCGCGGCCGCACTCGGCGCTAATGTGCGTGTGTTTGTTTGAGGGAGAAGGTTAATGAGTGATGGCTCGTGAGAAGCGAAATAAAGAAGGCAAACTGTGTGGAAGTGAGCGGGTGTCCTACTTCGGCATTCGGTGTTTGTTTACCGTACTACAAAAAGATCCTTTCATTAAGCATTACGTGTCATTTTTCAGGCTTCAACCAACATAATCGTATTGAGCTGGATTCCTCTCCGCGTGGAACTATGGGAAAGTAGTGCTGCTCAGAAAACCACAGGCAGACGTGTTTGATCTGCTGTCCAACAGTTTGAATGATTATTGTGTTTGATTCAGCGGTGGGAATAAACAAAATATACATATGCTCACAAGTGCTGTTCGTGAGGACAATTTTACATAAGTACGTTTACATAACTTAAGGATTTCCATTTTCCTGTACACTTTTACTTTAATAAAACTAAAATATTGTACTTTTTACTAATTATCTTTAGTAACTTGCATATTTGGATTAATAATACAATTAAATCAATCAACAAATAAAATATGATGTATTATAATGATTAACAAGGGGGAATATTAATAAAAGCAGTGCATCAATAATTATACTGCATTTAACTGTTTTCTGATAATGAGGCCTTTGTATTTTTTACTTTGACAACATTTTTGTGGTGTTGTACTTCGCCACTGTTATTTTTGCTGCTTCTACTTCAGTAAAAGACCTGGACTCTTCTGCCACTCCTGGTTTGATTTCCAACGGGTGTGTATGTGTAAGCGTTCCGGTATGTTTGAATACAAGAATGCACTTACACAAACAACCACACGCACAAAAGAAATGCCGGCAGATAAGAGTTATTCAGCCGGCTCTTTGTGAAAGTCACTTTAGATAAAGCGCATTTTTTTTCATCGTCTTAGAATCTCGCTGATGTTAACCACAATTACTTTAAGTGGTCGGCACACATTGACTAGCACGCACACACACACACACACACACACACACACACACACACACACACACACACACACACATTACGGGGGCTAACCTCCAGAGAAAGTGAGCTGAATCTGCTCGTCAATGATCTCCAGAGCGATGAAGTCATGTTTTTCATTGAATCTACCGTTGTAGAGGAGCAGAGCGTTCCTCTCTCTGGTGGCAAACCTGCAGAGACAGATTATTAGAATTATTTGTCTAATATAAAAGTCCAAAAGGAGAAACATTAAACAATAGTTATTCATATTAGTCACACACACACAAAGGGTTGAGTGGATTCCAACTGTCTCCTGTGCCATAGCTCACGTTTCCTGTCACATTTCTAAGCATCTATCCAACTCAAACAGAGCGGGACCGAGCACTCGGAGGCCCCCGCGGAAAGCTTCACGATGAAAGGGCCCGGGGGCTCCTTCAGGAAAAGTCCTTTAAAAAAAGTCAAGGCAGGATGTGAGAGTCAGCCGCAGAGAGGAAACCGTCCCCCTGCCTCGGATGATGGCGTGTGTTCACGTGTGAGGACGGCGGACCTGGTGAATGCCTACTGGTTAGCGTTGTGCGCGGGGCAACAAAAAGTTCCCGTGGCTCTTTGTGCAGGTCTGTGTTTTGGAGTGTAAGGTGAGGGCAGCCGAGTCAGCCGGCAGATGCCAGTGAGGAAGTCAGGGGCGGCTGTAGCCAAACACTGATAAGCGAAAACACATCGCACAGCCTTTTCCTGTTTTCGCCGCACTGCGAACCGTTCTCGCCGTCACGCCGTCGGCGAACTCTCATCTATCAAACTCATCTCACCTCTTACTGGTGCAGAAACATTGAGGGTTTATCTCATCATAATATTTACCGTGTTCCAGACTTGCTTAGCAAAGGTTATCTTCCCCGCAAGCACACCTCACAACACCGCACATTCAGTTGGAGGGAGTTTTGTCTTCGGAATTACATTTTATACGCGAGAGGAGGGAAGCAGCACACAATGGAAAAGTGTGTACGTGTCTCAGCACGCCTCAGTTGACACAATTTAGCACAAGCAAACTGTTTATTTGTGCAGCAACACACTGCTATTACACCCATCACAGAGCTGCTGCTGTACGGATGGGGGGTGGAGGGGGGGGGTCACTTTGTGTTTCATTGGTAGATGCATCTTGTTGGTTTTTTAAAAGGAACAAAGCGTGGACGTATGGAAAGTACTCACGTGAAGGAGACGGTGAAGTGGAACCTCTGCCTTAGGCCTCTGAAGGTGATGAAGGACTGTCCCGGGAAGCTGCGGGTGGTCATCTCGCAGTAGGGCTTCTCGAACTCCCCCGGTGTGCACTGGCACATGAAGCCACCCGCGAGCCGGTTGACACACCTGCCGCCGTTCTTGCACACACCGGGCTCACAGCGGCCCGACGATGCGTTCGCCTCGCAGTGTTCGCCTACGACGAGAGAGGGGAAGTAGTTGTATTTCCTTCTCGTTACTGAGTTGGCGGAGTTCTCTGCTCCCATTGGTTTCAACACGTGATATCTTCACACCATGACGACTCACTGTAAGACAGCGCTGTGTGTGTGTGTGTGCTGAATCTGAATGATAAATAGCTTGTCATGACATCATCACATTTGTTGTCATCATTTCAGCTTTTCTGTGAAGCGTGTTTTCCACGGTTGACTGAATCGTGTTGTATCCACTTGTATCAACAAGACGTCTTGGATTATAAATCAAGCTCTTTTATACAGCTAACCCGTGTCTTCCAACTGCAACAGTGTTGTGTTCTTAAGGCTTCTTTTTGAAATCTATCTCCAGCCAAACAACAATAAAGCCCTGTTTTCAGGTTTAAAGCTTGATTTCTGGGAAGTGTAAGTCTTCCATGACCATATTTGGAAAGAAGAGTGACGATTGACGAAAATGAAAAGACGGCTGACAAAACAAGGAAAATAGTGACGGGGAATACATTATGTCCAAGGCACATACTTTTAAGCCATGTAAAGAGCTATACAATTGTTGTAATACAATAATACATTCCCATTTTAGCGACCAACGCTTAAAACAATTTATAACTCCCCATTGGGTTCTATTTGGTCCCTACTGATCGCCAGAGGCAATGCTTCACACTGGATTATCTTCTGTCTCGCGCTTGCGCCGGTCGAGTCCTTATTCCAACAAAGTCACCTGTGACCCCCCCCCCCCCCATGCATAAGTTCTGGTGTCATCCTGAGATCGCTCCTATTTCATCTTCTCGCTACGCAGGCCGCTACGCAGGCAGCTACACTGGCAGCTACACTGGCAGCTAAGCTTAAACAAGGGATTTGTCTAATATTGAGACATATTTTGGCCTACCGCGTGTTGCCATATGACCATCGGTCGGAGCCACATACACTCTCCCCAGGGAGGGAGAGTATATCTATATCTGACAAACGGCGCCCCCGTGGCCTCGGTGGCATTTCGCCGATAAACTGTGACAACAGATGCCTGCCTCTCCACGCAAGGCGCAGTGTGGTAGAGACGGACTGCTTGGCGACAGTTGGACTGCCGATGTTTGAGAGCCAGCGCTCAAACATTTCCCGCCGTACTCGCATGGAAAGCAGGTGTTTCGTCCAGTTGGACAACACCTCTGCTGCGTGTCAAAGGCAACATCAACAGATTCACGGAGCTGACTACGGTTTTGTTATTTTCCACGAGTCTATCCTTCGACAAATAGGTTGACGGATGGTACAAAATGTACAATATCATATCATCTCATTTGGTTAGTTGCTGCAGAGGGTCTGGCCACGGGAACTTCCTCCTAAATGTGACCGTGTGGCTCTAGCTCCGTTTTCTGGCTCAGCTCAAAGAAATTCCTCTACTTATATAATAATAATAATAATACACCAGCATACCTCCTTCTGACTGGAATATTATTTGTGATGGGTGCCCCTGTGTCCCATTCCCAGGTTGTGTGTCAACCTGCTGTCTAGATAAGATCTCTCCACCCAGGACACACACACACACACAGATCCCCAACACCACCGCCTGGAACCAGCTAATGGCCCCTCTCTCCTCAGCATAATCCTTCTTTTTCCGAGGGGGGAATTATAAGGATCTGTTTCCCTGTAATGTAGGAAACCCAAGGAGGAGAGATCGGTCCGCCCTTGTCATCAACCCCATAATGGCCCCTGAAGGGCCCCGACTCTCTGGGGTCGAACTGTGACCTTCAAAGAGGGGACACCGGGATGCAGGTAAGGGAAATAGGACTGGTGAGTGGAGAAGACGGACATGGGGACCGGGAGGAGAAGGCGAGAGAGGGCTGGTGAGGGACAAAGGCAGGTATAATCAGGTAATTACATCAGATAGGACGGAGGAAGAGAAGGGGAGGAGAGGCAGAGTGTTGGGAGAGACAGGAGAGAGCAGGAGTAACGGCAGTCAGGGGCCCTCTCTGCTCTATTAGGGAACGACAGAGACGCCGAGACAGTCAGTCAGGTATCAGATGTACAAGGGGGAAGTTTGGGAGGGAGATCACTGACATCGGGAAATATTTCGAAAAGTGATTTCAATGGGAATGTTGAAAGCGTCCGAGGCTCATCTGCCATGTGAATGCCGTGCGGCGTAATTGTGACTGTGCCGACTTCCAGGAGGGATTCAGAGTCCCTTTTCTTCAAATCAGCTTTTGATCAATTAGAATATTCTCAAACATGAAATGTCCATGCTTACAATAGGATTTCTTCTTCCCTTCCTTCTTTTATCTGTGGAGTCTTGACAACGTGTCTTTGTTTTTAGACTCATTTTTTTTAGGATTTACTGAGAATATGTGAGTTTGCTCCCAAAAATACCCCTATGTATATTTCTCCAAAACAACGACACACTTTGAAACTTTAGACATGGATATAATTACTTTCTAGAAGCAGAGAGACAATGTTGATTAAAGTGGTCAGATCTCATCATGGCTAGTACCAATGAGGATTAACCTATTTCTGTATTAAATTTAAATAGTGTTCACATTCCACAGTATCAAGATTATATAAAGTTTGATTAAAAAAAGCGCCATTAAAAAAATGATTTGTTTTTTTTCAAAGCAGTCAGGTGATATGTAGGATCTGGTTGGACCAGTGTAGTCAGCCATCCTCACACCTATACTGCAATAAATCTACCGCATGTGTCAACGTGTGTGTGTGTGTGTGTGTGTGTGTGTGTGTGTGTGTGTGTGTGTGTGTGTGTGTGTGTGTGTGTGTGTGTGTGCAGGTTAATATACTAATATACCTGCAGTTTGACAAAGCATGTTTCCCTCTCCTGCACTGGGGTCGACCTCAAGCTACAACAATGGCAGCTGAGAGCTTTTACAACCTGTCAGTGTGGTCTAGCAAATTTTGTACCAGTCATTAGAGCCTTTGTGGGAAAGAATATGAGCCCGTGTAAGTTCTAATAAAAGACAGCTTTCTTCTGTGCTGGCTTCAGAACACATACAGGTAACAGCCATATGTGTGTAATTTGACTTAAGCACAATATATGTTATTTTCTTTCTTTTATTTTATATCCAATTTTCTTGCGAGTAACTTATAAATTAAGGATAGGAATATATCAGCATTATGCTTTTGCCTATATCTTTTCAGTAACAATGTATATTAGTTTGTATATATTCTTTACGCATTGTTTTGTATGTAATGACTGAATAAAACTACTCCTACTTTAGTTGAGTTACTTTTGTCTGATTATCTATTGAGGTTGCAAATATAAGTAAATAAAGAAGCATCAAACTCAATAATAGATTTTCCTGTGGTATGTACGGGAAAAACGTACATTCTGTACTTGGGTCTGAATGGAAAACCATGACCGACTTCCTTTTATAGAAACGTGGGAGACTCACCGGTGAAGTCCTCCGGGCACTCGCACGTGTAACCTCCCTCTCTGCTGCGGCACCTCCCGTTGTTCTTGCAGGGCCCGGAGTAGCACAGATCGATCTCGGTCTCGCAGTAGTCGCCAGTGAAACCGAGCGGACAGCGGCAGCGCAGCCCGTTGATGGGGTGGATGGGCCGGAACAGAACCGTGTCGGAGGCGATGAACGGGGGGGAGCTGTCGAACTTCAGCACCGACACACACTTCATGTAGTTCTCGCAGGGCTCCCGCAGGCAGATGTTGTCGTCAAACGGCAACACCTGGAGAGAAGGGGAAATCGCCGCTTCAGAATACCAGTTCAGACTACAATACTTTTGACGCTTGAACGCGCTTTCGAGTGCGTCACCTCCTGAGAGGATATCAGCCTGAGCAGAGTTCTGTTGAGGTAGATCTGCTCCTGCAGCTCCTCGGAAGGGAAGAACGTCCCTTTGCCCGCGGCGCCGCCAGGCTGCATCGCTGAGAAGGTCACGTTGAGGATGGAGCCCTGCACGTCGGTGTCGTTCTGGATGTTGAACACGAACACCGCCTCCCGCTTGGTGGAGAGCACCGCCGCCACGCCCTCCAGGAAGAGGCTGAGCAGGGGGGACAGGAAGCGCTCCTGGGACATGTTCTCCAGACGCACCGTGATGCTGTTGGTCAACATGTCGTCGGTGATGATGGTGACGCGCAGCGTGCAGAGGGCCACGGCGCGATGGACGCCGTCTGGAAGGAAGAGAGAAGCCAGACACCGCCGTTAACGCGCTTTTCTGAGATGAATGGTACAAATGAACGAACAAAGCAGATTGAGCCGACAACGACAAAAGCATTGAAAGTCAAAATGTGTTTCTATGGTTGTAAATTCAAAAATGACAAAATAAAAGTTGACTGGAGTGAAAAAACAAAACTAATTGTAGAGCTTCACCACAACACAAGAGCATTGATTCCCTTCCTGTAGTAGTGTGTATATAATACTGTCACATATTTCTTATAATCACGTTACACGGAGACTTGATTTACTGCCAAACTGCTCCAGCTTTATGTCTCTGGACAACTGGCTCTTTCTGCTCAGCTCGTATCCCCGTCCGCTCCTGTCTTTTATTAGCTTGTTTTTTCTTCAGTTGCCTGAATCGTTTTTTGAAGGCATGTCTATATTGGATTTGTTAATATAAAAATAGAAATGTTAAAAACTGCATAGAAATATAATAGGATGGCTAATTTAATTTCTTTGAACAACTTTGTGTGCAGCTTCCACCCGATACTGGTTGGACCGGGTCCTATCTCTCCTGCCCTAACGGCCCTCTCCACTCTGCAGTTCAACAGATTGACTTGTGTACTTGTGTAACACTTTTGCCGCTAGATTGAATTAAGTAGTAGCCAGTCGGGGTGGATTCGGTCTGATTCAAGCCCCGGCTAGAAGTAATGTGATCCGTGTTGGATTTCTGCCCCTGGGGAGGGTTGGGTCCGCTCTCATACCTACTTCTGGCACAACTGTAAGCTCTGGTGCCTATGGAGGGGAGGGGGGGGGCAGAAGGCTATAGGCTGCAGAGGGCATGTGCAGGGTGAATTACAGCTGACAACAGGTGGTGAGGCCAGATGAAATCTGCAGGGGGGGCAGGGGGTGCTAATGCTGTTGAAACGGGGCAGTGAGATGGGTCAGATTGCACAGCCTTGCCGTACCGAAAGGAGCACATGATGTGTGTCTGTGAGGCGGCGAGCGGGGAAAGGAGTGTTCAGGGTGAAGGAGCCACGGTGAGGTTCGGTCACAGGTGGCCCGCCACTCTCAGATGAACATTGGGGTCATTTCGCATGACCCCAAGCTCTCCTCGCTGTCGATCAGAGCGAGGCGCGGACAGGCTGGCTAGTCTCAAGCTAACCGCTAACCAGAGGCGACGTCGACCTCAACCTCACTAGAGGCCATAACTCACAGCGCGACGCGACTTGAGGGTCGGCTAGCGCCGGTGCGGTCGGGATGGGACGGGACGGGATGCACAAAAATGCAGACACACATATTGGTGGGACAGTGAGCTTTTAGCAGCAGCTGCGGTGTACCGGGGCCGCCGGGAACGCGCCGCTCATTCAACACAGAGCTGACTATCTGCATTTGTTCCTCTGCAGCGCTGCACACCTGTCTCTCCCTGTAGGTCGGAGAAAACACTGTCCTCCCACCGGAGATCCGTCAACTGAAAGTTCCCACACAGGCAGGCACACTGGAATGCTGAACGGACTCACATCATGTGGCAGAGAAATGCACGCACGCACAGGGCACAGTTCTGTTCATGCTGTTCATGATTTAGTGACTGAAATTGTTCTTGCTGCTCTTTTCTTTGAGGCCTTGTGTTGTACAATAATAATCTGTTACCACAGAGGCTCACACCTTCATTCTCATTTGTTCATTCTTGTTTCCCATCCAAACACACAAACGGCACACACTGACAGCTGCGCTCAATGTCAGGCTTTTACATGACAACTGACACTACACTCAATCAGTTATTCGGCACGCAAGCCAAGCTCTTTGGTGACTAAGTAAACTTCAACGGATTATCACTCCGATACTGTCGGCGCTCCGAGAGTTTTTTCCGCTTCTCTGGAGAGGGAAGGACTTTGCACCGTGGTGACAGGGTGGGGAGAGCCACCAGCGTGGATCCAAAAATGTTGGACCACCACCGAAAAAGGGGTTGGGGAAAGATCAGCATGGTAGAAAAGAAGATCGGATTGAAATTGCATTGGCTATTCATTCATATTATAACCGCTCCGTGCTCTAAATTACATTCTTTCCAAGGGCAAGAATGATTATTTCTACATGTTGTATGTTACACATTGACAACAAAGTGGTTGATTTCTTTCTCTTTTGGGGGCATCTCGACCCATGCTATTTATAGAAGCCCACCAGCTGCTAGCACAGGATCACACACACACACACACACACACACACACACACACACACACACAGGGGTTGAACTGTGGAAAGGGTGTGTCACGGACAAACAGCAAGGGGAAAAAAACATTCTATGTGTATAAGCATGCCAGCACACACACACACACACACACACACACACACACACACACACACACACACACACAGCCGACCACCAGCAGAGACACAGTTTACTAATTGTGAGAGTTTTAATAAGTGAACCTCTGAGCAAAAACAAGGATCACAGCTGTAATCTCATCAAGGTTTATTAGCTACACATACGTCCCCTTATCTCTATTAGTTGGCTTGTTTACAAGCATCCAATGACTTACTGAACAGCCCTTGTAATGGGTTTGCAGCACATTATCATTTGGTTATTGCCCTCCTAAAGCATCGATTATAAATGACAATCGCATTTTTGCAATGTCTAAAACACTCCGGCTCAAATCGGCTAATGTAGGAGGTGGCGTTTAGTGAGGTGGATTCATTATGGCCAAAAACAAAAGGGAGGTGTGTGCAAAGGCAACGCAGTTAGAGTCCCGCTGCGGGGGCGATAAGGGCTGTTAACTTGTAAAGCGAGCCGCAAAGATGACACACGAATGACCACACACTTGTGCGCACGCACAGAAAGCTAATAAATATGTCTATCACCTTTCAGAGTGCCATTTACTGTGGTCTAACACACTCCCTCACAGGTCTGTGTGTGGTTTCAACCTAAATTGCTGGTCAGCTGTCACAGTGAGGTACACACGTGCACACGCACATACTGTTGACCTTATATTTTCATTTATAAAATGAGCTTAAAAACGTCAACAAAATGAAGTCTTTAAAGACATTTTCTACTTAATAGGTCTTTTCTTTTAAAGCTGCCATCAGACGTAGACAAAAACAAGCAGACAAAAACAAAATGTCTAAGTAGCTCACATTAAAAACTTGATCAAGGACGCAGTTTGTCCGTATCCCTTAAAATGACACACGTGCACTATTTGTATTCGAGGACATTCTTTAAGTAATGAATTCATTGTTTGCCTGACAACAGTGGCGGCCACCCACCTGCCCAACTGCAATGTGTAAAATCAACAACAGTGTTTAGTCAGTTTCGCGAGAGGGAGTGCCAATTAAACAGCACAACACAAACAAGACATTTGTAGCTACCGGAGACACACTTCAAACCTTCCCACACACAACTTCAAAATCAAAATCCAGGTAGACTCTTCTTTTTTTATTTTTTTACCCACAGAAAACATCCAACGTGATACTATGCAACCCTGCAGTAGCTCATTCTCAGCTGATGAATTTGTTTCCACCTTGCTGACATTTATCATGACTAAAGAGAAGGGTTATGGAGAGCGTTAAACATTACGAGCTCAGGGGAGGCCTGCCTTTACAAAGAAAGGAAGCCTTTGTGACAACGCATCGTAAAAAAAAAGGCGCTCTGCTATTTTTTCACCATGCAAAACATTTTTTTTACTGCACAGTTAAAGTTTTACAACAGGGAAACCAATGGAAATCCCCGGCCCTGTCAGGCAGTTTTAAGTCCCAACGGACGACACACCCCTTGAAGATTTTCAAATATTTCAATGGGTAAAAAAAACTGTAACCTAAACGGCTTTCAACCGTCATCTCCACCTTATTGGACACCTCTGAACACCCTCAGCCAATCGGGAAGGGCAAACAAACAGCAAGATTGCCGTTAGAGGTGATCAAACGTACTTCTTTGTCGCTTTTCCTCTCTTGTTTAATGAAACATCCCAGGAAACACTGTCCAAGCAGAGCTCAATAAAAAAAAAAAAAAATCCATTTAATCTCTCTTTGTGTGTAGATTCTCCACTTGAAATGTTTTAGTTTTTCCTCAAAGGAAGCATTGCATTCAACAGTAATTTCAGCTGTTCCGTTCAAAGGGCCAACAAGCCGTCAAGGCTCATCTCCCTCACTGTCGTGGCAGCAAGCGGCAACTTCAGATCACATATCAGCAGCTCGCAGACACGATGACAGACATCCTGTACGCTGGAGGCCAAGGGAAATTGCTAAAATCACACTGGAAAGAACTTAATCAAAAGATCAAAAGAGGTAAAGGCAAAGCGACAGAAGTTAAAGGTGTTGGTGAGAAGAGGGAAAGTCTCCGGAGTATCAAACTTTCCTTTCAAAAAACCATTAGACAGCTACAGAATTAATCCAGCTTAATTGCCACTTTCTCTTTGCAAATATTTTACAATATTGCCCAAGAAATAATGTTAATTGTCAGGAATAAATTATATGTGCTACAGTTAAAAAGTGTTAATTACTCACTGGTGATCAAACTGTAGAAAAATACTGCTTACTGCTTTGTTAAAACAATGGTTCGCCATTTGGGAAACAAGTTAATCTCTAACAATGGAGGAAACTGCACAGTAGGAGTGAAAAAACCTGTACGGTATATTAGCATCCATTATAATACTGTTTCATAAACTCCTGTCATGAAATATCCGTCTTAATTATTTAACTTGCTTTGCTCAAAGGGGATTTTGAATGCAAACAAAGGCTAACTGAGGATCGATGATTAACCACAGGAATGCCAGCGGCAGCAAGTTAGCAAATAGAGAGATTTATGTGTTCTCAGAAATAAAAAGGAAACATCTATAGCACTTGACTTTGGGGCTACAATTCATACAATACAATGTGGCAAGATGATTTCCGAAAGGGACGACAAAGCTCCAACTTGAGGCTGTAGCACAAGTCCATTCACGGCCAAGAACACCTTGCCGTCACCTTAATCTCAGTCGGACATGACAGAGTCGCGATACCGTCCTACGCCCTCTCGTCGCATCGC